CTCCCTAATTGATGGTAAACAAAGTTTCCGATTTTGTCAAGTGATTCCACATATCTGAATTAAGAACACGATAATTGAGCGATTGCCACTTAACCTTGGATCTCGTTTGATCTGGGAAATTTATCTTATCGAAACTTAGATCATTTGCATCTTCTTCTAAATTTTCATTTCTCTGGATTGGTTTCTATTCAATGCAGTAACGGGGTTGTGATATAGCTAACATGCTTTATTCGTCTTGTGATTCAGTTGGAAGAAGGGAACAATGTGGAGAATTTGCAAGCCCAGAGATGCCGTGCTCGCATCGATCATTTGGATTCAGCAGATGTGGAAAATATTACTGAGTGGAACAACACAAAATTGAAACGGATTCTTGTGGACTACATGCTGCGGATGTCATATTTCGAGACTGCTTCAAAGCTTTCAGAAAGCAGCAATATTCTGGTATCTCTCTCACTCTCTCTTGACACTGATGATATAACATTTCTAAGCACTTGTGATTCCTTGGAGCATGATCATGCTATTTTTCTACGTCTCGAGCAACGGTTAATCTAGTAGCGAAAATGTTTTTTTCCTTTTGAACTGCATCTCTTTGAAACGCCAATGATTATGGAGACTTCTAGCCGCTTGTAATTCCCTGCAGCATGATTAGTCTATAGATCTGTGTCTGTTCCTTTTTTATAAGCAGTGAAAATGATTTATCGGTTTGTACTGCATCTGCATCTCTATGAATTGCCAATAACAAACGTCTCATCTTCTCAGGACCTTGTCGACATTGACATATTTCGAGAAGCTAAGAAGGTGATTGACGCCCTTAAAAATAGGGAGGCAGCTTCTGCACTGGCATGGTGTGCTGATAATAAAACCAGGTTGAAGAAGTCAAAGGTGTGTGGTGCTCATTCTCTGTGTACTTCCATGGTTTAGATTTACTTTCATTTGTGTATGAAAATCCACACGATTTCTTGGGTTTGTCCAAAGTCGCATGATTGATAGAGGCAATTCTCGTTCTGGTTACAAGGCATCTCATGAATGCACATATACTTGCTTAGTTAATTTTTTCAGAAGATTGCTTACTACTCACTCTTCTTTTCATATCATGAAAAAATATGGTGTCACTGCTGATTATATTGGTTGTTTTCATTACAGAGCAAATTTGAGTTCCAACTAAGGCTGCAAGAGTTCATCGAGTTGGTGCGAGCTGATACAGCTGACAGCTACAAACAAGCAATCCTTTATGCTCGAAAGCATCTGGTACCATGGGGAGCAACCCATATGAAAGAACTACAGCATGTTCTGGCCACTTTGGCTGTTAAAAGTACTACGGAATGCGCAAAATACAAGGTGAATTATTCCCTCTTTTGATGATATGACTGTATTGACTGTTGAATGCATTGCTTAGCCTAATCAACTGACATGTTTGCTATTTTCAGGTTTTATTTGAACTACGGCAGTGGGATGTTTTAGTTCATCAGTTCAAATATGAGTTTTGCAAGTTATATGGAATGACAATGGAGCCGTTATTGAACATCTATTTACAAGCAGGCCTGTCTGCTCTGAAAACTCCGTATCCACCAAACTCTATTAAATTTGATGTTTTCAATTGTGTTTTGCTCTGCATCTATAAGAAAGTTGATTCGTATTGTAGTATGAGTTTGTACCTTAACATGACCCCAGGTATGGTTTTGAAGAGGGTTGTACCAAGGAGGATCCGCTCTCACAAGAGAGCTTCCGGAAGCTAGCTATGCCTTTGCCGTACTCCAAGCAGCACCATTCAAAGCTTGTTTGCTATATTTCCAAGGAGCTAATGGACACGGAGAACCCACCACAAGTGTTGCCCAATGGCTACGTCTACAGCACCAAGGTTCGCTTCTGTTCTTGTACAACTTCTGCTTTTCTGTTGATTCTGTTCTCTTTCTCTTTGGAATCTACAGTTTTGAGCTAGATGAGTGACATTGATGGGTGATGTAAATGCAGGCTCTTAAGGAAATGGCGGAAAAGAACGGAGGTAAAATAACATGTCCAAGGACAGGGTTTGTCTGCAACTACGCGGACTTAGTTAAGGCATATATATCATGAGCCCAGTTGCTCATAATCCTCACTTTGGTGGCATTATGAAATGATGACAACCAAAGTGAGGTCAGTATTCAGACCAAAGGGACTGAAATTTCCAGCTTTTCTCCATTGCTAGTCTCTGTGAATATGCACTTACTTTACTTATAAACTTTGCATCACTTATGTAGAAACAGCTCTTTCTCTTTCCTTTGTATATTAAGTTATTTACTCATTTCAGTCTTATGACAATTTTTCGTTCGGACAGGTGAATAGGTGATAGTTTAGCATTTAACAGAATGTACATGGACAGGTGAATAAGTCATCGTATATTTTGGGAAAACGACTGGTCCCAGTCTCTTTACAACATGCTGTTTGATGAGCAAGATAGAAAGGGTCAAAAGTGTCCAATTCCCAATACTTACATAAATAAAAGATTAGGGTTTTCCAACATGTTGCGTGTGTGTATATATATAGTTGATTACTGTAGTCAAGTCTCATAGAACTTTTGCGTGAAATAAATTAGGGTTTTAAGTAGAGACGGGATAGGGCTTGGTCTTTGTTTTTTTTTTGTGGGATATTATGTCGGATACTAGGCATCTATCAACCGAAGCGGATGAGAGAATCGAAAATAGAAGCTGTGATTTACCCGACGATATGCTCTTACGGATCTTCTACTTCGTCCCGACAAAAGTCGCAGCCGCCACTGCAGTCTTGTCTAAACGATGGCGTCATATCTGGACGATGATGCCTCAAATCTCCTTCAAAGACGAAGGCAGCGAGAGCCTTGAGCAGGCATTGCAACTTCACAAGGCACCGAAACTAGAGTGCTTGCTTTTCATACTTTGTTCGGTTCATGTGGATGTCCGGAAGTTCGTTGAGAACGCAGTTAAACGCGGTGTAGAAGTGGTAGAATTCGAGTACAACTTGATCGGAGTGCCAACAAGGCTTCCTAAGATTCTTTACACATGCGACACGCTCGTTGATTTAACTCTGTCCAACCAGATTCTAGTGGATGTTTCTTCCCAGGCTCGCCTACCATCTCTCTTGTATCTGATGCTTATGAACGTGGTGTACAAAGACGAAGACTCTCTTGTTAGCCTTTTATCAAGTTCCCCTGTTCTTGAGTATATCAAGGTGTTCAGACGCAAAAACGACATGTTGAAAAATTTTACCGTGAAAGTGCCTTCCTTGAAAAGATTGTACTACTGGACTCCTCTTGAGCGGGATCATCATCATGATCCCACTGGGTGGTTGGTAATAGATTCCCCTGCAATAACAAATATGGAATTATATGATGTTTGGGGAAACTACTGCTTGTTAGAGAATATGCATTGCCTTGATGAGGCATACATAGGCAATGTTCCTAACCCCGATGGCAAGCTTCTGACATGTCTTTCTTCTGCCAGACGTCTGCTCTTGCATTTGACCGAGCCAATGGTAGTGATTTCATATTGGTCCCTTGTTGCTTCTTGGTCAAGTAATGTTGTTTATTTTTAATTTTCTGTCACCAGGTTCATTGTTGTAGCGCTACTAACTTCTCTCGGCTCATAGAGTTGCATTTCCTTACAGCAACTTCAGTTGATTGGTTGGAACCCCTTATGTTTTTGCTTCAAAACTCTCCCAAACTAAAGACTCTTTTCATCAACACGGTAAGTACCATCATCCCTTTAAACAAGTAGACACGCATCTAGATTTAGTTTTGATATGATATTAAAGTTCTATGTAATGACATCATCAGAAGTGGGCGGGGACTCTCACACCATCCTGGAACCAGCCCAATTCAATTCCCGAATGCTTGTCGTCTCACCTAGAGATATTTGGGTGGAGAAACTTTGTTGGAACAGAAGATGAGAAACAACTCTTGAAATACATTTTCGCTAACTCAAATTGTTTAAAGACTGTAAAGATCTCCCTCTCAGCGACAACCTCCCGCAATCTTGAAAAGAAACAAAAGGAAATAGGATCTATGCCTAGGATTTCAACATCATCTCAGCTTCTATTCCCCAATCAACTGGACTGGAGTTTTAGATGTTTCTAGGTTTTTTTGTTTTTTACTAATCAGCAAAAGCATCAATAGTTTCAATACGAGTATTTTTTGCCTTTTTTGGAAAATGTATGCTTTAAGCCTTTAACGATCTTATTAAAAACTCAAATATAACAATAATTTAGTCAACTAAGGTTTGTTCCACGATAAATGTGTTCTTCAAATAAGCCATCTTTAATTCTTGACGATGGTTATATGAAAGTTAATGTCTTTCAAACTCGATCCTTGTCAGAAAAGTTGAATATTACCACGAAGTATCTCACAGTTAGAAGGCTCGTAGAAAGAAATCATGGGAATACGACTTGGATTTTCAGACACCACGACAGGATCTTGTGCAAGCCTATGGTACGTTTCGCAGCTCCGGTTTTAGAGATGGTAAAAAGGTGAGGCGGATTCGACTGGGGAAGAGAAGGTTGGTTGATGTAGGCGTGAAATACGGGTCTCATCTCTTTAGTTATGGAGTCCAATTATCAGAAGATGGGTTTATAGCTAGCAACGAGAGCAGAATTGCAGGAGAGCATGGATTTGAGAATTATGCTATTTGTTGCTTACACTAATGACTGAGGCAGAGTCTTTGTGAATATAAGATACAGGGACAAAGAAGATAGAGCTAAGGGATTTACAGCCGAGTCTAGAATGACATTTGCGCATATTGTTGTTTATTGAGGTCAAGGTGGATCTCGTAGTGGTGTATACGGAATGGCTGTTTGGGATAGACAAAAGACAAAGCTGATCAAGTCACTAGGATACATTCAGGAGAACGTTGACTCCACATTATCTAAGAAATGTGTAAAAGAGACATTGCATGAACACGGTTCATCTCCACTCATGCAACTCAGCCTTGAGAAGACTTATCCACCACTATCTCAATTCCTAGTTAATAGTTATAATTACTATTGTACAGACCTCAAGTTTTCAAGCCTGTGCAATAATGACTGAGCCAATCAGCTACAGATGTCAGAACACGAAGCTCACCGAAGAGGAGATCTCTTGCCATCTGCTTTCTAATAATAGCAGACCTCTGTGATACAAAACGGCAATTATATGCTTCCAGTTCCTGCAAAAGCACCCAACAAACTTTTACTCAAAACCTACATTCAGTTAATTACGTGGCAATTAGCTGAAGCCAAACCTTCTATAGTACCTCGATGCAAGCACTATGATCCTCGATTAAACTGTTGATATGAGACAAAATGATCTTATGTGCCTCCAACTCTCTGCATCCATCTTCAAAGGGAAGCCGAGCTAGTCGACCGTCATTTTGTGCAGCTTCTCTTGACAAATCATCCAGCTCTGGAAGAATCACTATACTGTTAATACTTTAAGGATCAGCCTCGAGAGATGATGAAAGAGAGTAACTAGTTTGATTTAAGAACCTTGAAGAGAGGTACAACAGAGAAGACGTGCAAATGCTCGGAGAGACTGCGGAATTCCTTTCCCTTTCCCTTTAGCAGATTTCACTGCCCTGAGAGACAACCAACAACAAAGACTTTAAATACACATCTGCAGAAAGCTCTGATAGTGTGTAAACAGTTAGAGACTGTACACCTACTTGATTGTGAACGTATCGCAAGAAGAGTGGAAGATACTGATATCTTTGACACTTCGAGTGTGATGTGTCTGGAGAAGTCCCAGCTTCATGTTGCGTAGAGGATCGTCTTGTGGTATATCCATTTGGATTTGAACCTAGTCAATCAATCAAATGACAGTGGCCATCTTCAAGTCAATATCTCTAGAGATCAATGTTGTTACGGCTACAGTCATGAGAGAGAAAACAAACCTCGTCATGAACGTTGTAAGGAAGGGTAAATCCAAAATCCAACATGAGTGTAGCATTGGAGAATTCTCCATACCTAATGAGCACCTACTCAAGAAACAAAACGAAAGAGTAATGCATCCCACGAGAAAAGTGAATCTCATCTGTGTTATAATCCTACCTCATCACCAGGACTGTAGTCACGATCTGCAGTGACCTGAAAAGTTGAAAACTTCAAAATCAATGTACTGGTTTGTTTCAGTCTGTGTTGCAAGCCTTTAGAGTCAAGGACCATGCATCTTTACTAGACCGATGTACATCATATTTTTAACTTAAGATTCTGCTAATGTCGATTCACACTAGCTGATGTATCAAATGAGATATGATGTGGCAGAATAGCAAGTAGATGTGCGCAAACACAACACAAGACGAAGAGAACTCAGAATGGGAGTAAACCTCTGATTGTTGGTTGTCTTCATCGCTCAAAACGATTGATGCAGAAAGACCATCATGGTTCATGAAGTCTGCAAACGGAATCTGTGAGATGATCAGATCATCTACCAGAAATCACCATAAGCACACAGAGAAGGAAATGAAGAAGTACACTGAAGGCAATACCAGAGATATGCCTTTTGAGGTTTCCCACGCACGAGATCCCACTGTCCAGAAACAAGTTATCCAGATTAGAGTTAAAAAAAATTAAGTACATGTGAGTAGTAGTAACACATAATTAGAACCTCCCTTGTGAGGGACGACTGTGCATGGTTGAGTAAAACCAGAAACAGATAGAATAACCGGAGAGTGATTTTCTCACCTAAAGCATAGGCATACATGAAATTTTCCAGAGCTGGACGTTCAATCGCATTAGTAAGATGTTGCTCAAATGCCTAAAGAATCACCAATCAAAATTCACTAGGATGAGAAAAACAAATGTACCAAATATATGTATGTCTAATATATTTCTCAGGCAATATAGCACCTTGATAAACACTTATCAGGATCACCAAAGGAAACATACTTACTTCTGATACAAGTGAGAATTCCTTTTCTAGCCGAGCTTTCTGTTTTACAGTTTCCTTGTGAACTGCGCTACAACGAATCATGCTGAACTCATCTTCATCCCAGAATATCTAGAAAGAGTAAGTATACCCATTATTGCAAATTTTCTGCATTTTCCAACAGAGCATGGACAACGAAACGGAGAATTCTCACCGTGCTGTGCATCTCTGCAGGCCGAGGAAGTCGGCTGATATAAGGGACCCATCGAGAGTTCTGATTCAGAAACAATCATAGACTCAAGTCACATCAAAGAGAGACTTATATCAAGATCACATCAAAACTCAAAATGTTCACGTCACCTTACTTGACCCCTTTTCATCTCGATCATAAGAAGAGCAGCAAGCTTTCCAATGCTTCCAACTTCATCGGTCAATGAAACTCTAATCTCTGGTGGCAGCTCATCCGGAGTAATTTGCTGAAAATTCAGTTAGAACAACAGACATGTATTGAGATTTTCAAATCTTTTTTACACCACACGACAAAGAAAGAAGCTTATTTTAATACAATACCGCATTGAAAGGGACTCTCAGCATGCATTCCCCGGTATGAATTACTTTTGAGGCAAACAACGCCCTGCTCAGAAGTCGATAGTTGATAAATTGGTTAGTGTATTTAACATTATAAAGAAGACACATTGCTATACACAAACCAAACCATCACACCAAGAAACAAATGAAATGGATGGAAATATGGAATACCAAATAATCAGAAGACTCAACGAGACAAAAATAGCACCACACCATTCAAACAAAGAATCTGATCATTACATTACATAAACCAATATGTCCAAGACAGCAACAATACTTAAGAGCGTGTAATGAATAGTCCAAAATGGACTAAAGAAACACTTGCATCTTATTCAAAACATCACCAACCTGCCATAGACTGATTTTCCAATCGAAAGCGTGTTAGTTATCTTGGCTCCAGCAATCCGCTCTAACCAGGGTAAGAAATCAATGCACTCCTTATCCAAAGAGGCCTAAACGGATATAAAATGATAGCGGATTAATTTTTTCACATCTTATAAAATCAATAAGCATAGCATTCTGATTTCCGTTGATATAAGCAAAGAGAGCATAAAGGTTTCATCTTTGGTAACCAAGTGCTAATACTACTGTAGAAGGAATTTCTAGTGTTACATTTGCCAATACAAATTCGACTAGAGAAACAAAACACTATCGGAAGTCTTAATTCTCTATAAATATGCGATGAAGAAAACAAAAACCTGAGCTTGGGGCTCTGTAGCTGATTGTCCGTTAAAGCTGAAACGATTTGCTAAAGAGCGAAAATTGCGCCTTTGCTGAAACCCAAAAAGCTTCACCGGCGGAACGCACAATAGCATCTCCGGCCAACCCTTTAACCACCGCCTCGTATTATGCTCGTCGTCTCTCAACTGCAACCAGAGGAGCGCGGTTGCGTTTACAGACACAGTCCGGTTGTGGTCCGGTCCAATCCGGTTTATTCTTATGATCTCGAATTTTATACAGTTTCGGTTCGGTTCAGGTCGATCATTTAGTGTCATTGTTGACCGGTTTGGTAAAAGAACAACAGAACCGGTACAAAAGCTAGGAATGGCATTTTTTCAGGCTGACTTGAAGAAGGTAAATAGACGACATCGTTAATTTAGCTTTTTGTTCATAATCTTCAAAGTAGCATATATATGTTTAAGACTTCATAGGTAAAATCTGTAATCCAAAATCCTAATGAAAGGTATTTATTATGATGACAAAAGTAATAAAACATGTTACAGTTCAAAGTAACGATCAATCAACAAATCATAGTAACTAAAGACCAAAATACAATATATGTTCTTGGTTCTAAGTATCCTCACGTGAAAGTTACTTTTTCACCTCCTCTTGTATTCAGTCTCTCTGAATAAACTTCTCGTTCCTACATTCTACTACGATTGTGTGGCAGTGTGCAGCGGTTGTGCATCGGTCCTGACAATTATCGTGATAATAAACAGTGCTGCAATCCAAGGATGTTACTCCCAAATTCCAAAGCGGACAGAAATTTCTTAGTTATTTAATGAAATTACAATTGATCAATTTCTAATTATTTATTCAATTTTCAATACTTTAAAATTGTCCAGCCATATCTGGATCTGATTTTGCTCATCGTCAAAAGCAAGAAATGGGAGAGTTGCTGATTTCGTTGATGCTCGAACTCCATCTCACTCCTCCTATATGCAGCGGTTGAAATACGTTTGGTGGTTTATTGCGGTTTGATTGCGTTTGTACTTGGTTTGAAATTGATAATCTTATTTCATCAATTTTCAATCGACTTTTGCCAGACATACTTAGATCTCATCATCGTCATGGTGAATAACAAGAGGAAGGAGGAGCTGCTCGAGCTGCTGGTTTGGTTGATGAGGGGCCTCCATCTCGCTCCTCCTCCTACTTGCGGCGGTCCTTAACGCGGCGGAGGAAGAGCGGCGGCTTTGGAGGAGACGACGAGGGTTGCAAACATGTCCGGTATGCCAACAATGCCGCCACCCGCGAGCGGTACCATCCATATGTCAACTATTGAGCCCGGCGGCGAAGAAACAAAATTTCCGGTTTCCAAACAAGTTTTGATTAAAAAAAAAGGTAATGTCCATCGAATACCACTTCAATTTAAAGAAGAGAAAAATCAAAAAAATTGGCAACTTATTAGGATTCAAAAAAAAAAAAAAAAAAAAAACTTATTAGGATTCATGCAACTCTACAACTTATTAGGATTCATGCAAAAATCAAAAAATTCACTAGGATGAGAAAAACAAATCTACGCATGCAACTCTGTACATCTTATTCACAACCAAATATATATGTATGTATAATATATTTATCAGGCAATATAGCATCTTGATAAACACTTATCAGGATCACCAAAGGAAACATACTTACTTCTGATACAAGTGAGAATTCCTTTTGTATCCGAGCTTTTTGTTTTACAGTTTCCTTGTGAACTGCGCTACAACGAATCATGTTGAACTCATCTTCATCCCAGAATATCTAGAGAGAGTAAGTAATACAATTATTGCAAATACTCTGCATTTCCAACAGATCATGGACAACGAAATGGAGAAATCTCACCGTGCTGTGCATCTCACATCTCTGCAGGCCGAGGAAATCTGCTGATATAAGGGAACCATCGAGAGTTCTGATTCAGAAACCTCGTCATGATAGAGAAAACAAACCTCGTCATGATAGAGAAAACAAACCTCGTCATGAGTGTTGTAAGGAAGGGTGAATCCAGAATCCAACATGAGTGTAGCATTTGAGAATTCACCATACCTAATGAGAACCTACACAGAGATGTTTTAGTAAGCCTCCAAAATAACTGTCTTCCAGACACTAGCGACTATTAATGCATCTCATGAGTAGTGAATCACAGTGACCTGCAAAGTTGAAAACTTCAAAATCAATGTGCACAGTACATCATATTTTTAACTTAAGATTCTGCTAGTGTCGATTCTCGAATGAGATATGGAGGTGACAGAGCATAGCAAGCAGATGTGCGCAAACACAAGACGATGAGACCTCATAATCTTAAACCTCTTATTGGTTGTTGTCTTCATCATGGTTCATGAAGTCTGCAAACGGAATCTGTAAAATGGTCGGAACAAGTTATCTTTACCACAAATAACCACAAGTAAACAGAGAAGAAAAACACCTTGACAAACCCGAACTTGGTTCCTAAGACTAATGGTCTGATTGATATACCACTATGAGGCCAAACACACACAAATAAATAAATAAAGGTTTCACCACTTATATGGTCTATATGGGTGTGCCTTTCTCCTCGTTTTTAATGGTACATAAGCAATCTTGTTTATAATCTTCATGGTTTAAAAGTTAACGCGAAATATATCAAAAGGTTTCACCACTCCTGGTTCTCCACCGTTAAATTAGCTTCTTGTTTATAATCTTCAAAGTAGCATATACTGTATATGTTTAAGACTTTTTCCTACAATTTTTTTTTCTTTTGGAGAGAACAATAAGAACTCAAGAGAAGTTGTAGTGTCTCACAATCTCAATGAGCTAGACTTCACATGTTGCAATAATCTTCAGGGTATAAAGCAATTCATAGTTAAAATCTGGTATAAAAATCCTAATGAATTGTATTTATTATGATATCAAAAGTAATACAACATGTTACAATTCAAAGTAACGATCAATCAACAAATCATAGTAACAAAATACAATATATGTTCTTGGTTTTAAGGATCCTCAGGTGAAAGTTACATTTTCAACTCCTCTTGTTCTTGCTACCAAGCAACAAACACAGGTAAAACAAAACCCTAAAAACGAATCCAAAACCTACCGTGACGAGCAAACAATACCATTTGTTAAGCTCCGTCACTCCTTGCTGCCTCAGAATATCAGCACCCGTCGTAAGACACGTAGAGCTCGAAATCCTCATCCCAATCGATCGGCTCACAGAGTCCAAAAGCCTCAGTTTCATCCCATAAGTCAATTCCACCAAAGGCGTGTTGTCGAAAATCTGAACACCTCTCACAAAACACTCCGTGGGATCCGAGAACTCGTTCTGAAGAACCGCCTCGTACGGATACTTAACCAGAGATAGGTAATGAAACCATATCCAGTACTCTGGGATTCGATCTCTGTTGATGAAGAAGCCACTGAAGAGCAAGAAGTAAGCCAAAATGGCCACAACGATCGTGTAGCCCAACATCACGTGCGGAACGACGCCGGATAAGAAAGTCACGAAGGAGCTTCCGGACCAGAAAGAGGCTAAGATGATGAGGCAATAGAATAAAAAGCCCATTGGGCCTCCTTCGAGCCCGACAGCCCAGAACGTCGTCGTTGCGAAAGCGAGAGAGAGGAAGATGAGCGACGGGAAGGAGACGAGCGCGCGAGAGAGGACGTAGGAGGATCTCCGGTAAGCGTTGTAAGCTGTCTCTCTCATGAAGATGTAACGTTCCTGGAGGAAGACGGGGAGAGCGTCGGCGCAAGTGTAGAACATTGTGGACATTGCGAACGCGAAGAAGCCGAGTCGCTCCTGGACGCCTTTTGGGGAATTGTCTAATCGCCAGAAGACGGTGGCTAGGATGAATCCGGTGACGACTACGGAGGCTAATCGGATACCGAATAGCTCCGGCTGTCTTCGGGAGTTGAGGATTGAGCGTTTGGAGAGAGTTTTAATCTCGATCCAGAAGGGATTCGCGAATTCAGGGACGGCTAGTGTCGTGGTTATGGCGGAGGATCCAGCGCCGCCACCGGAGACTAGCTTCCCTCTGCTTATGCTGGCGGAAATTGCTTCTTTCAAGGTTAAATTCGGGTACGGAGAAGCCGGCGGAGTAACGATTTGCTGCTCATTTCTCTGCTTCTTCATCTCTTGCCAGCTCTTGTTGAATTCCACTAATCCTCTGGTTCCACCGGCGGATCCTTCGAGTTCTCTGATGAGATCGAGTGCGAACTCCGTCTGGCTCTCGTTTTCCGGTATCGGATTTCCAAATCCGGCGAAGAAACTCGGCAGACTCGCCGGAGATCCGCTGAAGACGGTGTGGCCACGTGACAAGAAGATAAGACGGTCGAGCAAACCGAGAACACGGTGGCTAGGCTGATGTATAGACATTATCACGATACTGCCACTCTCTGCGATCCTCTTCAACACCTTAACCACCATGAACGCGCTCGTGGAATCCAAACCAGAAGTCGGCTCGTCGAGAAACAGAACAATCGGATCGTGAATGATATCGATTCCGATCGAAACTCGCCGTCTCTCTCCACCGGAGATCCCACGGTGTCCTTCGTCTCCGATGATCGTTTTCGCCGCGTTACGAATCCCTAGCTGGTCGATTAACGCTTGAACACGGAGCTTCTTCTTGGACTTAGGCAAGGTTCTTGGTAATCGAAACTCAGCGGCGAACATTAGCGTTTCCTCTACGGTGAGCATCGGGAAGAGAAGATCGTCTTGCATTACATACGCCGATATAACTTTCAGCATCCGAGATTGAAGAGCCTCTCCGTTAAGCGTAACACTGCCTTTCAAGCTTCCTTTAGCTATCCGATTCGCCAAAGCATCGATCAGAGTTGATTTACCTGAGCCGCTAGCTCCAAGAACGGCGAGAATCTCTCCGTCGCGTGTCTCACCGGAGATATCGTCAAGAAGAGTCTTGGTCTTTGGGAAAGACAGCTTCCTCCGCGGAATCAGATCGTGGAACTCGAACTTCCGGCGAATGGAGACGGTGTAAGTGAGGTTGTTGAAAGATAGAACGAACGGAACAGGACGCATGAGATCATCGTCGTAATCTTCTTCATCGAGTAGCGAATTGTTCCCGTGGAAAGATTCATGAACAGGAGTATCGTCTCCGACTTCTATCTTCCGAACGTCGCTTACGTTCTTGAGAAGTTGACCTAAGGTTAACGACGAGCTAATAATCTCCATGGAATGATACGATGAGTCATTGTCACCAGCGTCGTGATCTTCTGCTACAATGCGAGACATCGAGAAGAAAGTGAGAAAATGATTAGCGTTTTCGTTTCTCTCTGTTTCTTTCTCTATCGCTATTCTCTCTATTTATATAAAAGGGCGCGTGAAGTAACTAACGTGTGTATGTGTATGTGTGTTAACAAGAAGGCTATGTGCGTTGTATGAGTTGCATCATGAGAAATCGGTTAGGTTTGTGTTGTTGACTAAAATATTAGTTTTAGCGTTTTGGATGGAAATGCGTTTTGGATTTTCTCGTATTTAATTCGGTTTAGTTATCAAGGGTGGGAGGTAATGGGATGAGGATGACCTAAAAATCTTGAATTCCCCAATGCGATAGTTACCAAAAATACTTTGAAGTATATGAAATGGTGGACACGTGGCGATTAGGTATGAGATTGAATGGAGAATTAGGTGAAGGGTGTTGATCTAACCGAGGAATAAGACTATGATGAGAATTGAGAACTATCTTGCGTATCACACGGTTTGGTCAATTTGTGTTTGTTTGTTTTATTTTTGTTAAATAGGCTCTTCATAATCATATGTTGGTAGCGAAATACTATAAAGTGTGTAGTGTGGTTTAGGCGCTGGGAATTTATATTTCGCCCAACGACCAGCTTAGCTAGCGTTAAATTCTTTGCGTGAGTGGAGTTTGGTATAATTTCTGCGCCAATTTTGGAAACTTCTCTGTTTAAACACACTAACACAGTGTGTTTCTGAATTGTTTTTGGGAAAGCCTGCACAAAATTTCAAACTTCTTTTCTGGTTTTCTTGACTAGTTGGTAGTAACGGTGAAACCTTCTTTACCAAACTTCAATATCTGTGCTAAACGAAGACTCTTTTTTTAATTGTTTTTGTTTTGAAATAAATGATATCGTTTAGAGTTATAGTTTATGTATTATTGTTCATTTGAGCTAAACGATTTGTTCAAGAATAGAGAAGACAATACTTGATTGGATTCATGTAACTTTATAGCCAAGACATGCATGCATGCGTACATACATGGATTATATGGTAGATTCACATCTATTAGTACTGTAAACACATGCTTCTTTTTGGTCAAATTTCCATATAATTTTGATGAAAAAAGGCAATGTCGTTGATCCATCGAATACCACTTCAAAGAAGAGAAAAAATCAAAGAATTTGGCAACTTCCTCCTAATTTAGTACTTGATCCAACCTTTAGTGATTGTAGTAGTAACATGAAATCATTGATGACGGACTTGGCTTCTTACATTTCCAATCCTAACAATCTGATTTTTGTTACATTTTTTTGTTGACTTTTAAGGTCTAGGTGACTAACTTCCACCTACTATAGCCTTCCTTGCCGCCATAACCAAAGGGTCAATATTCATATTATCTCACAAAGCTCTTAAGAAAGTTGGCTACTTTGAATTCTATTCCGAGCAATTGATTTCTTGTAATGCTTTTATTTTTGAAAATGGGAATACGGCATAGAAACGGTAAGCTATTTAAAAATTTGTTAGATACGCTATGTTTACACCAACCATGGAAAGAAGGAAACTTGTGTTATAATTTTTGGATTACATGGAAACTTAAAGACTAATTTGGTTTTCGAAACATGGGTCAGTGATGAAGATAACATTTTCGAAAATGTATGATTTTACCTCTTATTAAAACTCAAATATAACAAGAATTTAGTCAAACAAGCGCTGTACCTGGGGAACAAAGAGCATACATGAAGTTTAAGCTACTAGACTACCATTTTTTTTGTTTGACAACGCTACTAGAATTAATAATTGTCCAAGAATATTGAGAAGAACAAGATATATTATCATTATCAATATGATATTTACAGGCAATAGATACCCAAACACACACACAAAGATGTAGAAACTACTACATATATTCAAGAAAACGGCTTACTATCACAAGAATATTTGTGTTTCGGAAATTTACATTCACGCCCGCTTATTCTTGCTTCCAAGTACCAACGAGAAGTAAAACAAGATCCTGAAAAAGAATCCCCAAGCTATCGTAACCCACAAGCAACCCCATTTATCCAACTGCTCAATTCCTTGTTGCTTAAGAAACTCAGAGCCCGTCCTCAAACACGTCGATTCAGTTATCTCCGTCCCCAAATAACTGCTCACTGTCTCAAGAAGCTTCGTCTTCATCGATTCAGCCAATCCGTCAATTAATGTATTATCAAAAACTTGGTTTCCTCTCACGAAACAACGGGAAGGATCATCGAACTCGTTGTGCAGAACAGCTTCGTAAGGATACTTCATCAAAGAAATGTAATGAATCCATATCCAATAAAGACTGATCCTGTCGCGATTGATGTAGAATCCGCTGAAGAGAAGACAGTAAGAGAGATAACCAAACGTCACCATGTAACTCATCATCACGTTTGGAATCACACCAGAGACAAATGTAACAAATGAGCATCCCGACCAGAAGGACGCGAATATAATCAGAAGATAGTAGATGAAACCGGCCAGACCACCGTTTAGACCAACGAACCAGAACGTTGTCGCTGCAAATCCCACGGAAAGCGCGAAAAGATGAGGTAGAGTCACGAGAGAGTGAGATATAACGTACGAGAATCTCCGGTAAGCGTTGTGCGCAGTTTCTCTCAAGAAAATGTATCTTTCTTGGATAAAAGCTGGCAATCCATCGGCGCAGCTGTAAAACATCGTGGCCATTGCGAATGAGAAGAAGCTTAACCGTTCTTGGACGCCTCTAGGAGAATCATCTACTTTCCAGTAAACAGTAGCCAAGACAAAACCGGTCATCATGACTATGAAGACACGTGTTCCTATTAGCTCTGGCGTTCGGGTCCAGTTCATCATATATCGTTTAGCTAAGATCGCGGTTTCGACCCACCAAGGATTCACGTATGAAGATATCGAGCTATATGAAGTACAGACAAGTTTGCCTCTTGAAATGCTTGCATTGATGGCTTCTTTCAAGGAGGATGAGTTCTGGTGAGGTTCTTGGTTAAGTCTAAGATTCTTCTGTTGCCAATACCGGTTAAATGCGACTAAACCTCTTGTTCCTTCAGAGGAACCTTCAAGCTCTTTGATTAGGTCAAGTATAAATTCCGCATTGTTCTCTTTATCCGGTATGGGACGTCCAAATTCCGAGAAGAACAAAGGGAGAGTAACCGGAGAATCGCTAAACACACTCTGGCCAGAAGATAAGACGATGATCCGATCAAGAAACTCCATAATCCGACAACTAGGCTGATGGATTGACATAATTACGATGCTGCCACTACGTGCAATCCTTTTCAAGACTTGTACCACCATGAATGCACTGGTTGAGTCTAGTCCTGAGGTTGGTTCGTCGAGGAACAAGACGATTGGGTCGTGAATAATGTCGGTCCCGATCGATACACGCCTTCTCTCTCCCCCGGAGACGCCACGATGGCCTTCGTCTCCGATCACAGTGTTTTTAGCATTTCTGAGCCCTAATTGATCGATTAGGGTTTCAACTCTGTCTCTCTTCATGGATTTGGATAGGATTCTCGGAAGTCGAAACTCAGCGGCGAACATTAGGGTTTCTTCGACGGTTAGCATGGGGAAGAGGAGGTCGTCTTGCATTACGTAGGCTGATATAACTCTCAGCACGCGAGATTCCAAAGCTTCACCGTTTAGAGTTACCGTGCCTTTCAAGCTACCTTCCGCTATCCGTCCTGCTAATGCATCGATAAGCGTTGATTTCCCAGATCCACTTGCGCCAAGAACGGCAAGGATCTCTCCTTCGTTAGCCTCTCCGGTGATACCATTGAGCAGAGTCTTTGCCTGAGCAGGACTATGTCCGAAACGAAGACCAAAACGCCGTTGAAGTGTGACGTTATAAGTAAGGTCGTTGAAAGCGAGGACGAACGGAATGGGCCGTGTCTCAGGTGAATCGACATCGATCACGGCGTCTCGTTGTAGCATTTTCCCAGAAGATTAACACAAGGAGATGTGTTCTTGTCTGTACTCAGCTACAACATTGGGGAAAAAAAAAACTTCTTAATTTTGGGAATTGTTGTAAAAAGAAAAGTATTAACTCTTCCATTTCTTGAGGAAAATGTATTTGGATTTTAAGTTTCCCAATTGTGTTGTTCTAATCGTATCTCATATTTTTATGAAAGATTAATTATGTTTTGGTTATTGATGATGAAAATTTATCAACAAGTATTGTGAATACTGAAAAAAAATCAAAATCAAACTCTGTTTTACATACAGCAACTCTTTAAGAATTTATGGTTGCTGAAAAACGTAAAATACACAAGTAAAGAATATATAAGTTTACCTATTGAAGTTTTTTTTTTCTTTTCTTTTTTTCAGGAGAGCATTGCTGGTCTGACGAGCAATAGAACGGAATGATGCATTTAGTTAACAAAATTCGTGTATAGTACTATAGATCCCAATCTATTGCGCTTGAGAGAAAATGATAATTTGGGTTGTTTTTCAGTTATAGATTCTATGTAAAGTTTAATAGTTTATATATACTCGTAGAAAGTATAAGAGTTTCGTGACGTACTAGAACGAGTTGCCTCAAAAATGTAATTTGCATTTTGTATGTTGTGTAGAACACACAGTTCCTGTTTTCTTATGGATTTGTCATTTGTTCTCTTCCATCACATGCTTGGCCATCGTACCGATATGTTGACATAACGTTAATTAAGAAAGACACATGCAATTTAATCTTTTGTCTTGCCTAACCATCACGGCATAGAGTGAGCGATGATGTAACATTTGCTAATTTAGTAAAAACGGTGTAATGTAACATTTCTATTTATTTAGATGAATGATATGTGGAAGTGCATGTGGTTTCATTTAATTGGAATGGGGATGTATATCAGCACCATAATGTGTGGAAGTTCACATTAAGTGGCACCAATTCAAATGTTTTAAATTTAAATATTTAATTGTGTGTTTAAGTAAATATTTAAGATCTAATTGTGTTGCTAAAATGCTTTAAATTCTTGTCATTGAGTAGTCCTATATGCATTGTCTATTCACTATTCTCCATCAGGAAAAAAAAAAAAAAAAAAAGATGGCTAACCTGTAGCTAAGTAAATGCATTCATCACATGTAATGTGTGGAAATTTCAGTTTATACATTACGTGGATCCAGTCTAATTGTGAATTATTGTTGGTTATGTAAATGCATTTATCTGACATACTTTATTTTCTTTGTCATTGAGAAATCAATTTTGCAACGTCTGTTCTCCACCATAACATAACTTGTAATTTAGTGAATACATTAATCACGTTATACTTCGCAAGACAATAGATACGGCCAGCAATGTTGGGGACCATTGAACTTTAAAACGTCCGGGTGCGAGCCATGTTTTTTTGCGAGCTCTCCAGTGTTGATATTTCGCAGTCCAATTTGTGTTGATATTCGCACCATAAAAAATCAAACTTTTTGTTATTTATTCTCTACCAAACAGCTTTTATGTTATGAATTTATGGTAGTAATGTATACTCCAACTATTTTGAATTATACTCTTTTATTTATATCGCGAGTAATTCACCAAATATTTTGAATTATACATTTAATGCATGATTTTTTTAATCCATTTATGAGACATTAAAACTCAAATGTAGTTATGAGACAGTAGTAACACCCACTAAATTATGAGAATGACTGCCTAGCTATATTACTATATAATTAAAACTAACTTTAAGCACTCCAGTTTCAAACATGACCTAATTTTTCCTAATTTGGTTCCTCCTTGTTTGTTGTAAGTAATGTAGTTTTATCAGTTTATGGGTCCAAAAGTTAATTTATACAGTTTAGCTGAATACTGTGTTAAAATGCTTTAATTTCAATCATGTACTCAAGTAAATTATGATACTTTGAGTTTTAAAGATAGATATACGGTTATTTTACAAAATTCCCATAAAGATATAATTGATGAAATGATTATACATGTTATACAAATCTATCGCAAACTTACAACAACGTGAAGCTAATACTTTAAACTTTCAAGCTTCACTTACAATTGTATACTATTATTTAAGGTACGTATATTCATTCGTTGTATGTATAGCTTAATGTGGCCAATCGAAGTATGTTTTGTGTTTATGGACTAAACACCTTCACGTCCTCTTATTCTTGCTCCCAAACAGCAAGGCGAAGTAAAACAAGATCCTAAAGAAGAAACCCCAAGCTAACGTAATCCACAAGCAATCCCACTTGCTCAACTGAGTAATACCTTGCTGCATAAGCAATTCTGGCCCTGTTCTCAAGCATGTGGACTCCGTTAACTTCGTACCTAGAGAGCCACTCAACGTATCGAGGAGCTTAACCTTCATCGCATCAGGCACTCCCGCCAAAAGCGTACCATCGAACACCTGAACTCCCTCCACAAAACATCGAGACGGATCATCAAACTCGTTGATTAGGACAGCCTCGTAAGGATACTTAAGCAGCGAAATGTAATGAAACCACTTCCAGTAGATCGGTATCCGATTCCGGTTGATGAAGAATCCGCCCAGAAGAAGACAGTAGGAAAGATAAGTAAGAGTGGCCATGAAACTAATCATGACATTTGGGATAACACCGGATATGAAAGTCACAACAGATGATCCAGACCAAAACGCTGCGTAGATAATGAGGCAGTAGAAGACGAAACTCCCTAACCCGCCGCTCAAACCAACGGTCCAAAACGTAGTCGCAGCGAACGCTAAGGAGAGAGCGAGCAGCTGAGGCATTGCCACGAGAGAGTGAGCGATGACGTATGAAGATGTTCTGTACGCGTTGTGAGTCGTCTCTCGCAAGAAAATGTAACGTTCTTGGATGAAAACTGGTATGTTGTCTGAACAAACGTAGAACATCGTTGACATGCCAAACGCGAAAAACCCCATCCTCTCTTGTGCACCACTTGGAGTGTTGTCGAGTCTCCAATATATTGTGGCTAAGAGAAGACCCGTGACCATGACGGTAGCGATCCGGGTTATGATCAGCTCGGGCGTCCGGATCCAGTTTTTGATGTACCGTTTGGCTAAGATAAAGGTTTCGGTTAACGGCTGGTTTGCGTATGAACCGGTTGAGCCGGAGACTAGTTTGCCTCTTGAAACACTTTCGTTGATGGATTGTTTTAGAGATAAGGTGGTTTGTGACGTGGCTCGTGGAGATTGGTTCTGTTGCCAGCTTTCGTTGAATTGGACTAACTCTTTAGTTCCTTGAGAGGCTCCTTCGAGCTCTCGGATGACGTCAAGTGCGAACTCTGTGATGTTCTCTTTCTCCGGGATGGGACGGCCGAAATCGGAGAAGAAAGAAGGAAGACTCGCCGGAGATCCGTTGAAGACGCTCTTGCCGCGAGATAAGATGATAAGACGATCAAGAAGATCTAAGATCCGAGCACTTGGTTGATGTATCGACATCATCACGATGCTGCCACTTTGAGCGATTCGTTTGAGAACCTGCACCACCATGAACGCGTTGGTTGAGTCTAGCCCCGAGGTCGGTTCGTCGAGGAACAAGACGATCGGATCGTGGATGATGTCGATTCCGATTGAGACGCGGCGTCTCTCTCCGCCGGAGACTCCACGGTGTCCTTCGTCTCCGATTATAGTGTCCGCCGCGTTTCTGAGTCCCAATTGGTCGATTAGGGATTCGACACGCTCCATTTTCTTCGATTTGGGTAAGCTTCGAGGGAGACGAAACTCGGAGGCGAACATTAGGGTTTCTTTGACGGTGAGCATCGGGAAGAGGAGATCGTCTTGCATGACGTAAGCCGATATCACTTTTAGCAACCGTGATTGCAAAACCTTTTCTCCGTTGAGAGTTACGGAGCCTCTCAGGCTTCCCTCCGCCACTCGTCCGGCCAATGCGTCGATCAACGTGGATTTTCCGGCACCGCTTGCACCGAGAACGGCGACGATGTCACCGTCGCAAGCCTGGCCGGAAACACCGTCGAGTAGCGTTTTCACAGAAGCGGGCTTTCCAGGAGAGAGCAGCGGCGAGAAGTCAAAACGCCGGCGAAGTCCGACGTTGTAACTAAGATTGTTGAAGGATAAGAGAAACGGCACAGGTTGCATTTTAGGGGAATCGAGATCCAATATGTGATGATTGGAAGCATTGTCATCAGAATCTTTCAGCAGTTCGCCGAGCGTCGGTGGCTCGTTGCCGCCGTCGATAGTGATATCTTGGGATTCCGCCGAAACACGTGGCATTTTTAAAGGTATCGCACGGCGAAGCTAACGGCGGTAACGTTGTGTTCTTTTATTTTCCCCCCTTCTTTAACGTCAGTTAACGGCGTATTCTTGGAGGTGAAGCTATCGTATCTTCGTACATGTAACATGTGGAGGGGAACCCCTGAGAAAGCCATGTATATTTTTATAAAGAATTTAAAATATTTAACATGCTTACAAAATCTGATTGGTGCCGACAAAAAAAAAATGGATTCAGTGTTATCAACGAAGCTACATTTTTTTTATGTCAAAATTTCTTAAGGAAACTACAGATCTTACTTAAAACTCAATATATTAACAAATAAATTATACAAAGAAACACATGAAAAATATTGAGTTTCATGTGTTTCTCAACACAAGATTCATTTTTAGGCTATTATATATCCTTATATATATAGATCATGGATCATAATAATAATAAAAAAGTGCAGAACTGTTATTCACTAATTTAATGAAATGTTATACTTACTTAATAAAATTTCAGTGATCTTCTCTCCGGGAGCAAAGAAAATATCTGTAGTTGCTGATTTTTTTTTCCTTTCTATATGACTACAACCCTCTCTCTTTATCCTATTTATTTATAAGGAAAAGAGAACTCGTTTATTACTTTAACAAAAAAAAAACTCATTTATTATTTTATTTTTGATTTTTTTTTTTTGGTCAACATTTTTGATGTTTTCTTAAAACTAAATAATTAAATAAAATAAAGAAGAAACAAGAAACACGTCTCCTTATATAGTAAGAAACTTTACGTTGTCAAAAAATAAAAGTAACAGAAGAGTACATATAATAACAGAAATAGAAAGAGAGAATCAAAAGAAAAAGGACTTAGCTAACTAGCTGAGATTGGTAACTAGATTGGTATCATCGAAAAACAGTGCAATGACAAAAGCGGATAACAAGAATCAAGTTCAGAATCCGTGTTATCGGATGAACTCAGAACTCTACCAACTTTACCATATTTTATATATCTTTTACCGCTTCAACCGAATAGTGTGTATACACGTATTTCCAGATAAAGTTTAGAGTTTATAACGAACATATTTAATCAAGGGAGGTTAGTTACCAAATTATCTATATAGGAATTTACGTATGTATCTTATAGAGGAAACTAATTAAGAAAAGCAAAACATAATTTGTATTGATCATGCTGGGGCCATGAAGTTATATATAGTGTACTAGTTAGGCTAGCTAGAAACTAATTTGTGTTTGCTATTTTTTGTTTTGAACGTGTGATTTAGGTTTGCTTCTAAACTTTTAAAAGGAGAAACAAAAAATGCAGTGCTGTAACTGATGTGAAGCATGATTGAGCCACGACGTTAGTAGCCAATGTTTTGTGGCTTGCAGGACTCTACAATTAAAACTCATACACGCCACTTCTTCGGGAATAGTATGACTGGTGGGGTGCATCTTACTCTTAGAATAGTAAAATGGAAATACAAAAGGTAGAAATTAGATTGAACCAAATGGGGTTTGGGTTACATTGTGCATCATTGAGCTTTCTGGTTCCATTGTCGTTTGGGAGAGAAATTAATGTTTTCCGACGGAAAAACTGTATGAGATTTGGTTTTTAAAACGCTTCGATTAACCACAACTAAAGAAAATATGAAATAAAATGGTAGAAAAGAGGTATAGGGGAAAAAAGTAGAATAACTTTTATTCCATTTCTTCAATCTACTAAAAAGAAGAAAAAAAACAACATTTGTGGTTTGTTTAACACTGTAGTCTGTACGAGAAGAATTTTATTTTATATAATATGAGTTTTTATAGTATATATTATATTGATAAATGTTGAACGCATACAAAAAGATTATTTCCTCTTGGTATTTTATCGTTCAATGGGGTACACCGGCCAGAATCGTGAAGCACGTGCTTACTGTATATTTGTGATAACGCTTGGTTGGAAGAAATTTCGGCCTTTAGCATTTAAATCTGACCTACCATTTCCAATTTACATTATCATCAACCAAACATTGCTCAAAGCGATGCCCGTAAATGATGAACTCGTGACTCTTTTAAAATTTTATTTTGTCCATATGGTTAAAGCTTAAAAGTATCCTCCAATGGGCCAACTCACAAACAAAATAATTGGAAATTGAGAGCATTTGCAACAGAACAAGAAAGTTATATAGACTATAACATAATATTCATTCTCCATCTAGATTCTCAATCTTTTTTCATTTTGCTTCTTCTTAGGACTCCATTTAGAAGAATCGTCAAAAGTCTTTTGTAATCAAATTCCATATGATCATTTATCATGTGTAGAACATTCAAAAGTTTTAATTAGCTATGGTTCTGTTTTCAGGATTTGACGAACTGATGATAGAATTATAGTAGCTACGGATCACGTTTCTAGGACCAGTAAAAAAAAGTACAGAAAAGAAAGGAAATAACCATTGCATATAGATAAAGACAAAATAGTTCAGTCGTCTCCCAAGTTTTCTGGTGTAACAAAAACTCCACAGAATTACGTAGAAGACTTGAGGAGTTGATGAAGTCAAGTAATTGGAATTTACAAAGCGTGAAACACGCAAAAATATGCAAGGTGTCATAATAGTATTTATTCAATCTCACAAGGAAATGTATTCACTCACTGGAGATGCAAGAAGTGTGATAAGGTAGGAACACAGGATTATCATGTATATATATGAAAGCGATATGTATGTCGTTTAAACAAATTCGAAAATAAATATACATCTAAGCAATCACTAAACATTGTTTATGGGTTTGTTAATAAAACTGCATTGTCATCCCATAGGTCATTAATCAACATATATATATCTTCTCATGTGCTCTATTTCCTCAAGAGTCGTATAAGATGGATTTCAAAATTAACTATCTTAATGTTCTAATTAAACCACGTTTCTCTGGTTTAGGTTTAAAAACTCAACATACATCATAGATCTAGTATTGACAGTATTGTTTTTGCAACGACGATTCACCTAGCTCTTCAGGTTGCTTAATCTTGCAACATTTGTGGTATTTTTTATCAGACCGGACAAGTTTTGCAAATAAACTAAGTGTCATTCGTATTCAGACATGACTAATAGTCTATCACATCATAAACTTAACGCTTTCACATGCCTATTCCTTCTACAGTTAGGCAAGATTTTGATGAGATAGCGTTTCCTAGTGTTTCTATGGATAGAACAAATGGGCCTAAAAGAAGCATAACGGCCCAATATAACCATGGCAAGGCAGTCTGTATGCTAGGCCGTGTTATAATTTTGGACGGTCCGGCCTGATTTGTTTATGTTTTAGCCTCACACTACGGATGTTTGGATTTTGGTCAACTTTGGTTCAGAATTTCAATTTTTCAATTTTTGGTTTAACAGTAATACCGTCTCGGTTTAGTTTGGATTTAGGTTTACATAAGTTCTAGAAAGATATTTTAAGAATATCATGTTTAGATCATGCGTTATCTCAAAACACATCACGTGTAGCAATCCTCTGTTTGTTACTCTTCTGAATTTCATAACACAAGGGGCTGATTGGATGTAGTTGTAGCTTTAATTTTTTTGCTGTAGATTTTACGTTGTAGAATTTTTGGTTGTAAATATAAATTTTAGTGCTGTAGGATTTCTTATTGTAGATTGTGTCATTAAATATAGCATTAAAACAGAAAAGATAAGATATAGAAATAATAGATTAAAAAATAAATATTGAAAAAATAATAAAAGAATGAGAAGAGAGAAAATTCTAAGAGCACTTAATTTGGTGCTCTAGAAAAATTGCTTTCCAAAGCCACAAAACTTCCATAAATATAAAAAATTGCTCTGTGTTTCAAAAATGGAAAGAGACAGAATGAGAGTATGATTGGTAATTTTAAATTGCTGTAGAAAAATTTTGGACTGTAGAGCAACCACAGCTCCTACCAATCATCCCCAAAATTCAAGTTATTTTCTTCTTTTTTTTTTTAGCTTTGAAGTACTAAATCTTTGCCTTATTTTTATTTCGGAAAACAAAAAAAAGGATTTCAGAATCAAGACTAAACATGCGAATTTTGATTTGTTCAGCACTTGTCTTTTAGATTCTTGAACAAATTAATACGAATATAGAAGTAGATTAAACATGCGATGGTAACTAAACAATGGGATTTGATATAAAAACACATAGAAAGCCCTCAAAAACAAAAACAACTCCCATACGATCAGGTCAGTTCTCTTTGGCCACTTTATCCTCGACCGAGAGAACATCGCTAGCTTCCTCTTCGACCTTGTTCTTCTTCATCAGCTGAGCTAATCTCTCGGCAACACTCAGCCTTGTCCCAGGAGACACACCCTTCTTCCCAATGATTGATTCAAGAACTGCCTCTGCCAACAACTTATTCTCGATCACAGCTTTTCCAGTTTCAGGAATGCTATCGTCTTTCGAAAACGCAATCTGCATACATTTTATTTCACAACAAAAATAAATGTCAAAAAATAAAGACTTCAAAAGCTACACGTTTAGGTTACGATAGTTTCAAGAAGTAATATGTAAAGAATGTTTAAAACAAAAAAGTTATTCACATTTAGAAACGTGCAAACAGAGTATTCTATGCTCATTCCATTTGCGTTTGGCATTTGCAACAATTATCAAAAAGTACCTCATACATAGTAATGTAAACGTAAACGCAAGTCAATGAAAAAGTTGAAAGAAGTTGCGGTACCGTGAGAGAGCCGTTAGGGGAGAGAGCGAAGAGGATAGAAGCACCGGGAGGGAACGTTTGGTCTTTGAAGACTTCCAAAAATCTCTCCACAGCTTTAGCCTCAGAGTCTGTGTAAATCCCTAACGCCTTCCAAATCGCCACACAGTTCTCCGTTACTTTCTCCGAGTATTGCTGTCCCGTTAACGGCAGTTTCATCGTCACCTTAATAAATTTCTCAAACGCACCTATAATCCAAAAAAGAAAAATAATAAGATTAATTTACAGAAAAAAGGTATATACTCATGACGGTCGATCTAACAAACATAAAATCCCTTTTGACTTTTTGTCGAAAAAAAACAAAATTCTTTTTTGACTTAAAACACTTAGCATGACGTGTCATTCAGTTAAGTGGTGCACGTAAACAAGCACCTGTCACGATTTCACGAAAAAAAGGGACGGATTCCGTTAACTCCTCTGAGGTTTTGCCCGTCCATTTAACGGAGAGAGACGGAACGGCGTCGGCATCTAGGTAAACACCGATGACGGTGAAAATCACAAATTTTCCTTGGATATCTAACCCTCGCACACCTGCGCAAGTTAGCAACGGAACAGAAAAACGTCAGAGAGTAAACAAAAACGTAAAATAAGAAGGCAAAAAAACAGTGTTGGAACCTGCGCCACCGAGGAAGAGGGGTTTAGAGGAAGCCGGTGAGTTAACGGAGGGTGAAAAAGTAACGGAATCGACTTGAAGTTTCGTGACGGAAGGTAACGGTGAGAGACAGGCCGAAGAAGACATGGTTATGATTTGAGTTTGGGGGTTAGGTTTTGATGATATGTAATAGTGAGAGACGTAATAACTAAGTTATAAGAGAAGAAGAAGGAGGTGGTAGGTAGCAAGAGTTGCCATTACGAGTGTTGGGTGTGTAGGCACGTGGACGTACTCGCTTTTGATTGGTAGGTTGCGGAAAGTCTGATACAATAATGCGATTTAACTGTATCCAGATTTGTTTCAGTTTAGGTTTAATTAAAACTTATAATAATTTATTTAGTATAATACTAATTCGGTTACTAAATCTCATGAGAAGTTCAACCACAATATCTATGTAATTTACTAATTTTTAATCTGATTTTTGTTTTCAAAAAACAGAAAAAATGAGGGAAGTGGGCTACGGCATGGGCTATTAAAACCCACCCACCAGAGATGCTGTCCAGATTTGAGTTCCGATTGTTCCTAAAAATTGGGCTAGCTATATAGTAAAATCAAAGCTAAATCTAACTGAACCTAAAATTCCCTGTGGGTTTGTCACTGGAAATGTATTGCATAACCAGAAATTTGTCATCAATAGTCGACATCGTGTGGCCAACAATGACGTACTATTGGATCTGGTTACGTTCGCAGTATAATTTCATGTAGTCGATATAGATTTGTAACTCGAACCAGAACTCAAAGTTAAAGAATATCTCTCTTTATTAGTTTAAGAAAATCAGCTCAAAACTTAAACTCTCTCAAAGCTCATAAGTTATGCCACATCTTGGCATCTCCTTATATAAGAACCTTAATCCTAATCCTATTATAATTCACCTAAGTTTAGATAACTCCTAAACAACTTGTGACTTATCTCTAACCATATCTCGGTTAGGATTAGGATGACTTTTGATTCAAGCTATCTTCAAGCTTAAGCCAACATTCTCCCTCCTAAGCTTGAAGTCATCTTCAGCTACAACCTTCATGCCAGTGAGCTCCCTCATTTCCTTGAACTTGAGCTTTCCAAGTGCCTTCGTTAATATGTCCGCCTTTTGTTCTGTCCCGGGAACATGCTCCACTTCTACTTGTCTGTTCTCAACGCATTCCCTTATGAAGTGATACCTCGTGTGAATGTGTTTGCTTCGTCCGTGAAACACCGGGTTCTTGGTGAGAGCAATGGCCGACTGGTTGTCTATTTTGATAACAACCTTCTCGCAAACTGTCTCAGTGATCTCACCAAGTAAGTCCTGAAGCCATATTGCCTGTCTTGCTGCCTCTGTTCCTGCCATGAATTCAGCCTCACAAGAAGACAGGGCCACCGTGTCTTGCTTCTGTGAACACCACGAGATCATACTCTCTCCAAGATAAAACACATGATCGGTTGTACTCTTGCCATCATCTGGATCCACGTTATGGCTACTATCGCTGTAGCCAACTAACTTCATTGCAGCCGACGAAGATTTCTTGAACACAAGTCCAAGTGTGGTTGTTCCACGTAGGTATCTTAAGCACTGTTTCATTGCTGCTCCATGGGACTCCTTTGGATTCTGCATGTAGCGGCTGAGCACACCTACACAATAAGACAGATCTGGTCTTGTGTGTAACAAGTAACGTAAGCACCCGACGAGCTTTCTGTATGTTGTAGCATCAATGTCTTTTTCCTCTGTTGCCTTAGAGAGCTTCAAGCCAGCCTCCATTGGCGTATGAACTGGGTTACAGTCCTCCATTCCTGCTTCCTCTAATATCTTCAAGGCATAACGCTTTTGACTCAATGTTATGCATTCTTTATCTTGTTGTACCTCTATTCCAAGATAGTAGGTTAGCTTTCCGAGATCGTTCATCTCGAACTTTGATGACATCTCTTTCTTGAATTCTTCTATGATCTCTTTACTTGTCCCTGTGACAAATAGATCGTCGACATACACTGCAAGAAGGAGAATCTCTTGACTTACTTTCTTCCGATAGACTGATGGTTCTTTGGAGCATCACTTGAACTATAACTCCTTAAGAATCAGATTCAACTTGTCATTCCAAGCTGTCGGAGCTTGCTTAAGTCCATACAACGCTCTGTTCAGCTTGTAAACCTTTTCTTCACTTCCTTTTACCACAAAGCCATCAGGCTGGGAAACATAGACTGTTTCTTTTAACTCCCCATGAAGAAACGCTGTCTTGACGTCAAGGTGATGTATCTCCCATCCCTTAGATGCTGCGAGACTGATAAGAAGGCGAATTGTTTCAATCCGAGCTACTGGAGCAAAAACTTTTTCGAAATCAATCCCGTATCTCTGCACGTATCCCTTGGCGACAAGTCTTGCCTTGTGTTTATTAATGCTTCCGTCTGAGTTCCTCTTTAGCTTGAACACCCACTTCAAGCCGATTGGTTTTGCTCCGCGTGGTAGGTCAACAAGCGTCCACGTTTTGTTCTTGTTGATGGACAATATCTCATCTTCACAAGCCAACATCCAATTCCTTGACTCTTTTGCCTCATAAATGTCCTTTGGCTCGTCATTCAGACTCAAAAGTAACCATTCTCCCTCTATCTCTGCAAGTAGTATGTAGTCTGCAAGATACTTTGGCTTTTCTCTCACTCTCTGTGATCTTCTTAGCTCGGTTTCACCGTGAGTACCTTCATCATTATCTTCTTCTGATTCAACTCCACTTTCTTCCTCCCTGGACTCCGTTTCTGGTTCCTTGTCTTGCTCGACTCTGCCTTGCTCTGCTTCAGAGCCATCGAACGCTATCATCTCACGATCTCCCTGTTCTCCATGACCTCCAAAATCTCCTGAACCGATCGTGAAACTACCGATGCTGTTCGAGTCCAGATTTGATATATTCCAATTCCAGCCTCTTGTTTCGTCAAAGATTACATCTCGACTCACCACGATTTTCTTCGTTTGCGGGTCAAGCAGACGATATCCCTTTGTTCCAGGCTCCGTTCCGAGATGTATCAGACGACATGACCTATCATCTAGTTTCTTCAACTGATGAGAGTCCACCTATGCATATCCTATACAGCCAAATACTCTTATATGGCTGATATTGGGTCTCTTTCTCCAGAACGCCTCGTATGGTGTTGTCTCCTTGATCGCTCGTGTAGCAATTCTGTACAAGAGATTCTCCTTCTTGCAGTGTATGTCGACGATCTATTTGTCACAGGGACAAGTAAAGAGATCATAGAAGAATTCAAGAAAGAGATTCATCAAAGTTCGAGATGAACGATCTCGGAAAGCTAACCTACTATCTTGGAATAGAGGTACAACAAGATAAAGAATGCATAACTCTTCTCCCTCATGAGAATCGTCCACATATATCTCGAGTAGTCGTCTATGAGAACAAAGATATATTTGTTTTCAGCTGTTGTACTAGGTGTGATGGGACCACATAAATCTCCGTGAACGAGCTCTAGCACCTTCGTTGCTCGATATGAAGAGGCTTGGGAAAATACTTGTCTCGTCTGTTTTCCCATTAGGCATGAGTCGCAGACCTTGTTTTCTACCTTAAGCTCTGGAACTCCCAACACAAGCTTCTTTTGCACCATAGTCTTCATTGTCTCATGATTCACGTGTCCCAATCTCGCATGCCATCTCTCAGAATCACTCATTGTTGCCGAGATTAGACACAACGTGTTTCTTATCCCCATACGTACCTTGTACAGTCGGTTTCCGCCTCGAGTTGCCTTTACCAGAAGCTTTCCCTTTCCATCATGCATTGTCAAATATTCCTCCTTCATTCTCACATCACACCCTGATTCAGTGACTTGACCGAGGTTATGATGTTGCTTTTCAGATCAGGAATCCAATAGACATCCGCCATAGTTCTCGCTTCACCGTTTCTGTCTATGAACTCGATTAACCCTTTTCCCTTGATGTCTATATGGGAATCATCACCAAACCTTACTTTTCCCGTAATAGTCTCATCAAGCTTCGAGAAGTAGCGTCGATCCCCAGTCATGTGGTTGCTAGCTCCATTGTCTAGATACCAAACGTTATCATCTTCTCGATCTGCTTCATACTTGTTTGGAACGACCTTCTTCTCGTTTAGATACACTACCTCGTGCAGCATAAGTTTGTCTGCTACCTCTGTATCTTCGATCTCATCCTCTTGTGCCTCTTGTAATTTGAGTTTGAGTAGTCGATCTGGACACTTTGAAGCGTAGTGACCAAACTTATCACACCTGAAGCACTCTACTTCCGACAAATCCTTTGTTCCATTGCCTCGTCCACGACCTCTTCCTCCAGAGCGTCCTCCACGACCTCTGCCTCTATTTCCTCCACTGGAATCACGATATGCCTCTCCCGATTGTGACTCCATATTTGCATACATTAGCTTGTTTTGATTCTCTTCTGTTTTGTCTTCCGCCACACGTTCCTCGAAAGCTTTCAAACGTCCCGTAATGTCCTCAAAACTCGTGGTTTTGAGATCCAGTATTTGCTCAAGGGACGCCACAATATGCACGAACTTCTTTCTAGGCATGCACTTCAGAAGTTTCTTGACAAGCTTAGTTTCTTCAATTTCTTCTCCAAGAGCCGCCATCTTTGATGAGATGTCAGATAACCTTCCAGCAAAATCATCAACTGATTTTGTATCTTGCATCTTGATCCGATCAAATTCTGACATTAGTGTTTGCAGTCTTGCTTCCTTCACCCTCTCTGCTCCGACGTATTTAGCTTGTATAGCTAACCAGACCTTCTTCGCAGAATCCATCTCTCCATACCGTAACACAAGCGTTTCTGGAATCGCCTGAAATAACAACGCTATGGCCATGTCGTTTTTATCACCATCGATTGATCCCGTTTCGATGACATCCCACGCTTTGTTAACTTTCAGCAAAGTTTTCATCCTTATAGCCCATACGGTGTAGTTGGAAGATCCTCCTCCTCCTTCTTTTGACGAGGATCCTCCTCCCTCCGTAGGGTGTCCTTTTGATGCATCCACTATCTCGTCTTTAGCCATTGTTTCTTCTGTTGAAACAATCCTGATGCTCTGATACCAATTATAGATTTGTAACTCGAACTAGAACTCAAAGTTAAAGAATATCTCTCTTTATTAGTTTAAGAAAATCAGCTCAAAACTTAAACTCTCTCAAAGCTCATAAGTTATGCCACATCTTGGCATCTCCTTATATAAGAACCTTAATCCTAATCCTATTATAATTCACCTAAATTTAGATAACTCCTAAACAACTTGTGACTTATCTCTAACCATATCTCGGTTAGGATTAGGATGACTTTTGACTCAAGCTATCTTCAAGCTTAAGCCAACAGTCGACATCATTATGATCACCTTACAACGATTGAATTTGTGATAAAAATCCTTAAATTTTCATGTAAGGTGATCATAATGAACTTATATCTTAACGTTTACATAAGCATTAGTATTAGACAGGGAGTATTTGTCTACGTGATAATGAAAAACAGTCCATTTTGTCTTTTGGCAGCAATGGAAAACCCAGTGCCGGTCCAATGAATTTAAATGCCCTACTCAAATCTAAAAAGTATGCCTTTCAATTTTCTTTTTCCAAAATCACAAAACAGTAAAAATATTAAAAAACCCTTAAAATTTCATAAAATAAACAAGTTCTAAATAAAAAATTCCCACTTTATAAATAGTTTGCGAAAAATATATAAACTGATTTCTTATGGTTATATTTATGAGTTAAATATAGCTCTCCTTGATTTTGAGCTGCAAAATAATTTATTAAACTCACATAATCGAGTTTTTCAATCATAGTTGTCTCGATCGATAACAAAGCCAATTCATTTAACATTTTTTGTGACATGGTAGATCGCAGGTATTTGTTAACAAATGCCCTATAAAAATTAATATCACTAAAAAGGTTTTAAAAATTTGTAAATCATATATAAACCCCTTTAAAAAAAATTAACAAAAATATGTTCTTGTTAAAACTTTATACATAATATATATATATATATATATATATATATCTTTAAGAAAAATTTAAGTAACTAAAATATGCCCTTGTTAAAACTTTGTAAATGATATTTATACACTCCTTAAGAAAAAAATTTAACAAAATTATGCCTCTAATAATTGGATGCCCTACTCGGCCGCTTACCCTGCGTATGCTCAGGGCCGGCCCTGGGAAAACCGAAAACACCATTTAAACCTTAGGTTTTAAAATCACTCCATTTTGGCATTTTCCAATAAATCACTAAAATTCAAATGTGGAAATTTCTAATGTGCACATTAAAAGGCTCCAGTTTAATTGCGTATTTAATGCCTTCAATTTTTTTTCTTCAAGTGGTTCGACCTAAATTAAATGTGTGCTTAAATGTTTGACTTCTTGGCACTGAACATGCAATGTCCCTACCTTATTTAAAAGTAACGATTTACTTTGAAATTCAATTCATAACTAATTCATTTAGCTTTATCTTTTCTAACATATGAGATGTTGATAACTTGATATGCGCATGTGGATTTCATTTAACTTTAACTTTCCTAAAAAAAACTTTAGTCGGATTGATTTGTGTTGGTTATTTACACCCTCAGGATAACGCAGGATAAAAACAATTTATACTTTATACAAACATTAGTTAGTTTTAGGAAAAAGAAAAACGAATTTCTTTTAATTCATTGACGCCCAAGCCTTGGTAGTTTCATATAATTTGATTTAATATCGATCTCAATAAATGAGACAGTCAATGAGTCAATTCATGCAGCTGACCCCGTCGAGCAATTAATTAGACTGAACTAACAAACTGTATATACTTTTATGTCATAATTAGACTCAGTGCCAAGAAAATTTCGACTTTTTTTTTTTTTTTTTTTTGTATCTCTGGTATCCGGGTCCGAGGAGTCGACCGAACAGTCACCGACCAGTCCTGAGGCCCAAATCGATGGTCTGAGCTTTGTCCAGCTGTATTCAATTATTCTGAGGATCTAACCCGAACGGAAAACCCGACTATCCCCTCGAAAGGGGTCCAGGGCCCCAACGGAAGGGATGTTAAATCCGTTGTGGCCAAGTGGTTTCGAACCCGAGTCCGTATTGGGACTTACCTCTTTCAAGTACCACTAGGATACTACCACTTGATTGAAAATATCGACTTGTTGTCCTTTCGTTTTCTTTATATAAATTCATCAGCAGAAGTAAAGAGAGATGGAGTATTATTGAATTATCAATACTTATCTAGTTGATCTGATCTTCGGGATGGTATTGTCACACTTAATAGAATTCGTTGAATCCTGTTTTGAAATTCTTGAAATTCAATTGTGTATCCACTACTTATGCTAATGTAAATTTTCAAGAAATCTAAAGAAAAAGAAACTTCCAAAAAATATATAAAGAGGAAATGATTATAAAAGTAATTACAATGATCACAAAACTACAAAAAAAAATATATATGTAACATTCCCTGTAACTCTATCTCTCTCAAGACAAAGCTAAAATTGTTTCTGTATAAAGGGTTGTAGGTTGAATAAATTTGACATTTATCCAAAAAAAGAAAAAAAATCAAACTTCACTTAAATATGTTTTTGGGGACAAACCTTTACCTTCACGTCCTCTTATTTTTACCCCCAAACAACAATGCGAAGTAAAACATGATCCTGAAGAAAAGACCAAAAGCAAACGTAATCCACAAGCATTCCCACTTGCCCATTTCAGTAATACCTTGCTGAGAAAGGAAGTCAGCCCCAGTCCTTAAGCATGTGGACTCCGTTATCGTCGTCTTCAGAGATGTCCCTAGAGTTTCAAGGAGCTTAACCTTTCCCGAATCAGACACTCCTCCGAGAAGCGTACCGTCGAACACTTGAACTCCCTTAACAAAACAACGCGAAGAGTCATCAAACTCGTTGATTAAGACAGCCTCGTAAGGATACTTGAACACTGAAAGGTAATGAAACCACAACCAGTAGATCGGTAACCGATCTCGGTTTACGTAGAACCCACTCAACAGCAAACAGTAGGCCATATATGAAATGGCGACCATGTAACTTATCATAATATTCGGAACAAGACCAGATACGAAAGTAACAACCCCTGATCCTGACCAAAAAGAAGCGTAGATTATGAGGCAATAGAAGAAGAAACCGCTAAACCCGCCGCTCAAACCAACGGCCCAGAACGTGATTGAGCCAAACACAATAGCCGGTGGAATTAGCTGAGGCAGGTTCACGAGAGAATGAGATATGACGTATGAAGATGTTCTGTATGCGTTGTGCGTCGTCTCTCTCAAGAAAATGTAACGTTCTTGGATAAAAACGGGGACGTTATCTAAGCAACAGTAGAACATTGTTGGCACGACGAAAGCGAACAAAGTCAATCTCTCTTGTGCACCTCTTGGAGTATGGTCTAGCTTCCAATAGACAGTGGCTAAGAGAAAACCGGTCACCATGACCGTAGCTATACGTGTGCCTATTAGCTCTGGCATCCGCATCCAGTTTTTCATGTAACGTCTTGCTAAGATGAATGTTTCGAACAGTGACGGGTTTGCGTATGAAGAAACGGTGTCCATGGACATGAGATTGGCTCCAGAGGAGCCGGAGACTAGCTTGCCTCTTGAGACACTTGCGTCGATGGCTTCTTTGAGAGATAAGGCTTGGTATGGTGTGGTTTGTGGCGTGGCTCGTGGAGTTTGGTTCTGTTGCCATTCTTCGTTGAAGTCTACTAACTCTTTGGTTCCTTGAGATGATCCTTCGAGCTCTCGGATGACGTCAAGTGCGAACTCTGTGATGTTCTCTTTGTCCGGTATGGGACGGCCGAAATCGGAGAAGAAAGAAGGAAGACTCGCCGGAGATCCGTTGAAGACGCTCTTGCCGCGAGATAAGATGATAAGACGATCAAGCAAGTCTATGATTCGAGTACTAGGTTGATGTATCGACATAATTACGATGCTGCCACTTTGAGCGATTCGTTTGAGAACCTGGACCACCATGAACGCGTTGCTTGAATCTAACCCTGACGTAGGTTCGTCGAGGAACAAGACGATAGGATCATGGATGATGTCGATTCCGATCGAGACTCGCCGTCTCTCTCCGCCGGAGACTCCACGGTGTCCTTCATCTCCGATTAATGTGTCCGCCGCACTTCTGAGCCCTAGCTGTTCGATTAGGGCTTGAACACGCTCCATCTTTTTCGATTTGGACAAGCTTCTTGGAAGACGAAACTCGGAAGCGAACATTAAGGTTTCTTTGACGGTGAGCATCGGGAAAAGGAGATCGTCTTGCATGACGTAAGCCGATATGACTTTCAGCAACCGAGATTGCAAGACTTTCTCTCCGTTTAGAGTAACGGAGCCTCTCAGGCTTCCCTCCGCAACTCGTCCAGCCAACGCGTCGATCAACGTGGATTTCCCGGCTCCGCTCGCACCGAGGACGGCGAGGACGTCACCGTCGCAAGCCTCGCCGGAGATATCATCGAGCAGAGTCTTCACTGTAACGGAACTTCGCCGCGAGAAGTCAAACCGCCGGCGAAGTGTGACATCGTATTCAAGATTGTTAAATGATAGTACGAACGGCACGTGTCGTATGTTCAAGGCTTCGATATCTATCACGTGATGAGCCGGATCGTCGCTTCCGGTGGCCATGCCGGCGCCGGAATCTTTCTTGTGGAAACTGTCGCAGTCTTTCAACAACACTGCGAGCGAAGGTGATCCCCCGGGAAATATATACTCTGATTCCTCCAAAACACATGGCATCGCAATTTTGCTAACACTCAGTGACAGATTGGCCATACGTGTCGTTTTTTTTTTATGAATCTAATTGATTAAATCAGAAACCTCCTCGAACTCTTCTTTTTCTTTTTTTTCTTTTTTTTTTGAATGTAAAAAGGGGATGTATTGTAGTTTGTAACGTTAGGTATTTATAAATCAACACTCAACACTAAACATAAAAAGTTGGTTTTTAATTATTGCTTAAAAGAATGGAAATATAAATGATGAGAAGCATGAACTGGAGCGAGGACCGTTATTTATGTAGGGATGGCCAATATTAGGTTGGAACGTTAATTATGATATTTATGTAGGAATTGAAGATTTTTTTTATTGGATTGAGTTGTCCAAATTGGCTATACCGTTTTTACTACAGTATGTTTTATGTTGGGTTTGGGTATCTCTATTAATTAATGTATAGTAGAGCTTTGTAAGATCTGACACGGTCGTCTCTGACTCTCATTTCCTGAAACTTCAACTTCGATATATGTGTATCCGTGGGTTGCGTGCGTGCTTATTGTAATGTAGACCTCTGCAAGGCTTGGAAATCGATGCACATATTTGGGATCTCGAACATGGGATTGGGTCGCTTTGTTTTTACACACACAATAAAAAATAGAACATGGGTCACATTAAATTTCACCTACCGTGCATTTCAGATTGGGACTCCAAGCAAAATGTATTTAAAGCGATGCTTTCTACTATCTGTAACCAGTATTTATTCTCAAGCTAGCTTTTGCTGTCCATAATTAGTAATGTTGTAGTCGGCAGGACTTCTATAGTTGGAATTATTGTTTGAGAGATGGTATCATCCAAAACCGTTAGTTACCTTTTGCTTCAACTAATGGAATTTCATTTCTTAATCGAAACTTAGAAACTAGAAATGGAACTTTTCTATTTGTACGAAGCTCTAAGAACATATCTAACCAATTTTCAAAGTCTCATATTTAGCGCGAAAGTTATCATCTGATCACATGGCGTTACTTTAGACTTGGTCTTTCGTAAGGAATCAAACTGATATGTTTAACAAAAAAAACAAAAAGGAATCAAATTGATATTGTAGTATTTGTATTACTATTTTATGAAATCAGAAAGTTCCGTAGTACACCATTGACTTTTTAAGCAAGGGAATCGTTATAAAATAATATTGTGATACTATACTGTTTGCATGTATAATATATATAATATTTTATAACAATATAATACTGACATTTAATTTGAGATAATAAAAAATGATCTTGATTATCAAAATCGAGTGTCACGTTTTACAAATAAGGAACACATATTTATAGCGTAAACATGGAGGTGAATTTAGTCAATGGAAAGAATACTTAAAATATTAGCAAATGGATAATCATAATCATAATTTATTTTAAACATCAATGTAGGACGTTGAGACGCTGAGTAATTGTATATCTAAACTACATAGTATTGTGTGTACTGATCTTTTAACAAAGAACAAAAATTACTATAATTTGTGTAAAGCATGAAGGAGCCACGATTCGTGCAAGGCCAAGTTAGTCGTTTAAAGCGTGTCGTTTAAGAAATTGATAATCAGCATCATTATCTCTTAGCAGATTATTTCATTAAGTGTCATTTTCAGGAACCCAGAATCGTGTATATCGTGTTTTACTGAAATATACATGATGCTTGGAAGAAATGCAAGCTGGATTCTTCTACTCGAAATGCAATTTAATACTCCATATTCAAACTTTTACTTTTTTAGCTTAATAGTCAAAGAGCTTGCTATTTTTTTAACTCCATATCCAAACTTTTATTTTTTTAGAACGAATGGTTTTATTCTTTAAATTGGAATAACTAAAAGCTGACTTCGAATATTAAGAAGGTTATATAAATCAAGAAAAAGAGCATGTAACTCGAAGTCGACGGCCATACTTCATAATTACATTCTTTCTGTTTTGGAATTATGGTTTGAGTATCATCCAGAACCGCTTGTTCTACTCCTAATTGGCGAATCCAAATTTAATACGTATACGGTGTACCCAAAATATACATAGTTAGTTGACGAACTAATCGATACAAAAATGAAATGATACGTGAAGAAAGACTGAATAACTGGGTTGTGGTTTACAGATGCAACTAGCAAAACGTTACAAGCTGACTACAATTTGAAAATATAGCTGATTCTAGTAAGATACATAACTCCAACATAGCTTTTAAACAAGCAAAAGACCACCAACATAACATCCGATACATCACTCTTAATTTAATCTTATATCATTATTGTAGTAAACTAGTAATCTTTTATCAATTTTCTTTGTTGTTCAGCAATCACATTTATCTCTGGTGATACACCCGGTAACACTATATAACTAGACTTTGACAAAGAAAGAAACAAACCACAAAACTAGAGACAAAGCATTGAAATATTAACTTCATATTAATTAGCTAGTAGTTGTTCTTGTTTTTTTGGATAAAATAGTTGTTGTTGTTTTATTACATGCATTAATGCATATACGTACCGGTGAGGCTCTATTAAAAAATATGTTTCTACCAATGAAGTGATTATTGCAAAAATACAAGAAAATGATTTAAATATATTAAAAGATGACTTCGATAGTAATATCTCAAAGACTCAAACTATTTGTCTCACGGTTAAACTCTCAATGTTTTCCCCAATAAATAAAGTGAGAGTTAAAGTTAAAGAGACAAAAACATGTATAATTATTAACACGAGAAATGAATCAAATGATTTAGTATTTGGTTTATGTTAAAGTTTAACCGGCACCTAATAACCAAATAATAGTCTATCCGGTCCAAACCGGTTTCCATGACTTTTACTTTTAGTACACCGAACCGAATCACACCGATCTGAAGAACCAAGCTTCCATTTTTGTGCCTTCGCATACGAACGAACGATCGATGACTACGCTACCATACACCGACGTCGATTGCAACCTTCGAGCTTTAGCCGGCCGTGCCGAGGGATTCGGCCGATTCTCGGTCGGTGGTCTCCACGGCGATCTCTATGTCGTCACTTCTCTTTCAGGTGAAGTATTTCTAAAACGAATCTATTTATAAAAAAAATGGCTTTCCCAATAATGCTTTTTCCGACGATCATACTTGAATTCATATGAACACGAAATCGACGGATGATTCGAGCTTTAATTTCGCTTTCCTTATTGATTTTTCCGCCCTGTTGCTGTGATTGTGAGATGCATTTTTGTTTTGTTGATTTTAGATGATGGACCTGGGAGTCTTCGAGAAGGAGGTAGGAGGAAAGAGCCGTTATGGATCGTTTTCGCGGTTTCTGGAACCATTCATCTCAATTCGTACTTGAGTGTGTCGTCTTACAAGACGATCGATGGACGAGGCCAGCGAATCAAGATCACTGGGAAAGGAATAAGATTGAAGGAATGTGAACATATTATCATTTGCAATCTGGAGTTTCAAGGTGGTAGAGGTCACGACGTCGATGGCATTCAGATAAAGCCAAAGTCCAGGCACATTTGGATCGATCGGTGTAGCTTGCGCGATTACGATGACGGGCTTATAGATATCACTAGACAAAGCACTGATATCACTGTTTCTAGGTGAGGTAGAGGAAGAGGATTTTGGATTGTTATGCTCTTGTTTATGGTACTTAATGTGGCTTTCTTGTTGTTTGTGGTTTCTACAGATGTTATTTTGCAGAGCATGATAAGACGATGCTGATTGGAGCAGATCCTTCTCATGTTGATGATAGATGCATCCGAGTGACCATTCACCATTGTTTCTTTGATGGAACGAGGCAGAGGCAGCCTCGTCTCAGATATGGAAGAGTTCATTTATACAACAATTACACTAGAAACTGGGGAGTGTACGCTGTCTGTGCTAGCGTAGAAGCACAGGTGAAACTCTTTAGTAGTTTACTGCTTTGGCCAGAAAGTTTGGTTTTTTGAATTAATCTGAGGCTAATATCTATGTTTCTAGGTGTTCTCTCAATGCAATATATATGAAGCAGGAACGAAGAAGAAAACTTTTGAATACTATCCAGAGAAGGTTGATTCTCTTTTTCTCACTTGCTTCTTTCTTCTCGCGTCAGAGAAAAGCTTTCTTCTTCACCATCATCATCATCATCTTGTGTGGATTTTGTTTGTAGGCTGCTGACAAGGAAGAAGTGAGAGCTGGGTTGGTACGATCTGAAAATGACTTGTTCTTGAACGGAGCTCAAGCTTCCTTGTTGACCGGCGAAGAATGTGTGTTCCATCCAAGCGAGCATTACCCGACATGGACAGTGGAGCCACCATCAGAGACTCTCAAGCAAATCCTCAAAATTTGTACCGGTTGGCAATCTTTATCCCCTCCTTCAGATCATGGAGTTCCTAAGTAGTAGATGTGATCCGTTTGATTTCTTGCATTATCTTATTTCCACTTTTCATTTTATTCAGTGAGTGAACAATGCGGTTTTTTTAACCTTATAGTGAGCTGTGTGTGATTTGTAATGCATTTCCTTGTTAATGATAAGTAATTGGCTTCTTGATTGTATATAATCTGAATCAAATTCTTTACTAGATTAATGCAAGCTTTGGTTATTAGAGAGTAAGAGACTACTCCTCTTGTTTCTTTAAACGTTCTGTAATCTTTTTTTTGTTAGATTCAAATGATGAACAATTCAATTACTAACGTAAAGAAAATCTTAACTTACAGTAAGCTCTGTGTGATTTTTGATGCATTTTCTTGTTTATGATAAGTAAATATTTGGCTTCCCTGCCTCAAATTGTTTACTAGATTAATGTTGGCTTTGGTTATTAGAGAGTAAGAGACTACTCGTCTTGTTCTGTAAAACGTCGTTCATAAGCTTCTTTTGTTAGGTTCAAAATTTCAAATGATACAAAATTCAAACAATAAGGTAAAGAAAATCTCAATGTTGCTTTTCGTTCTCGTTTTCTGTTGTACACACAATGCAAACACAAGTATCTGTGCATTTTTGATACTTCACATCATGTAGAGCGGAATATTCAGCCAGAACTGTAACAGCGAAACGAGTCTCTCAGCCTGAAACACATCCAAGTGACATCCATGATGAGGAAGACGAAGAAGAAGCTGAAGAAAAAGAAGATGAGGCAAGTATTGCTGTTCCGTGGAACAGATCAGAGATGTAATTCTCCAAGTTATCTGGCTTGAACCTCACAAGGATCTCAATGTTTCTCTCCTGGCCGAGCATTGGTAAGTACTTCCTGTAAAACTCTCTGTATTCCGGTACAAGTTTCTTAGCTACAGAGACCTTAAGCTCGTCCCTAAGTTTCGAATCTGGTACAACTCGTGACGATTGTTTCATATATGCTTCCTCAAACGCTGTGTGAAACCTTCTGAAGTATATTTTGGCCTCCTCTGGTGATAAGTCTGTAGGTTCCTCTGGCAAAGACATGAAAACGTTGGACCACGCTGCTATCTCATAATTCCCAGCGTAAGCGCTAAGTTTATCATCGTGCTTACTGAGCCAATCATCTCCAAGGAGATCACTGAGTTGACTCGAACGAACCGTTTCGATGATGAAGTGAAGGTTGTTTGCAAGGAAGAGGTAAGACAGCGAAACATCCTTGTAGTGCTCTGCTTTTGTGTCTAGCCTGCATAGCAATACCAGGATGAGCCAAGCGAAATGGACCGAGAGTGCGTGATCCTGTTCTTCATCTTCTAAGCTTGGAGTTCTGACATAAGCTTCGAGCAAGCGGGTGTTTCTTGGGAGCGGATGGTCTGCAAGTATTTCAGATAAGACAGAGCTGTGTTTAGAAAGGGAAGAGATGAAACTCATTGTTGATCGGGTCAGCTTATGAATCCCTCCTCCAGGTGTAATGGCTTTCGTCGAATCCTTGAGAATAGTCGATTCAAAATCCGTGAGGGCACTGTGTATCGAAACCTTTAGCTTCTGAAGCGAAACGAGCGCCTGAGCTTTCACGCCAGATACTGAATCGAAGTGGAATATCATCTCTACGTCCTGCCAGAGATCAGATATCGCAGCTTGAAGATCCATCAGCGAGAAGATCCTCTCGTGCGATTTCTTCTCCTTGGCAACAAACTCAGGGAACTTGAAAAGGTTAGTAGCTGCTTCGTTCGCAATCTCGTAGAAGCATGACTCCCTCGTCGAGTTTGAAGCAGAGAAGACATGATCACAGAGAAGTTTCTCTCCGCGGAAGAGCGTGGCAACGCCAATCTTTGCAGCTTTGATCCAGTTCTTGATCATATGCTCGAGCGTGACCCAGTCCGTTCTGTGGAATCTCGAGCCTTTGTAGATTTCGATCCCGAGCAAGCTTAGCCCTTCGTCTACTATCGATTTCCTGATCCGTTTATATATCTTCACGCATTCTTTACCATATCCGCAGCTGATCATGCTCTCCGCTATTGCCTTTAAGTCAGACATCACCACAGCTGAAGCTTTCTCAACCTGAGTGATCGATTCGCCAGCTTTCTTCATCTCTTCATCGTCGTCGTCGTCATCAGATTGCATAACATCTTCAAATTCGGAATTGCTGGAGATTGAGGATTGACCGGAGACAGACTCGGGATCGAGCCTGTCTCTGTTTGAAGATAATATCTGGAAAAACTCTTTCTCGAGCCTCGTCATGGCGATCTGCATCAGGGTCTGTGCCTGAGCAAGCTTGGGAGATTGAGAGTCTTGAGAGACAAGAAAGTGCATCGCTCTGCGCAAATCACGGACGCATATGATAAACTCTTTCGCTTCTTTTCTGCTGTGGTTGAACAGAGAGACGATTTTGGTGAAGGAAGGCGTGTTTGGATCCCATTTTCTGATGACGGATTCTGCTTTCTCCACGGCTTCCTCCATCGTAGACTGAGTGAAGTGTTGGCTCAGAGGAGAAGCTGGGAAAGAAGTGAATGAAGAAGGAGAAGAAGGAATAGATTTAGGAGATGAGGAAGAGAAGAACGCAAACTTTGCCCTTTTCGCCATTGAAGAAGCTCTCCTGAAATGAATGTTGCTTGGCTTTTACTCTTTCTATTTTCTGAGGAAGATGGTTTTGACAATTATATAGAGAGATTTGGTCTTAAGTTTGAAAATATTGATGACGATGTGCTTACCTGTGAATATAGACTCAGACCAAACACAACCATTGACTTGGATGTATAAACCTCCATTTATATATATTTTAGATAATTAAAGTATGCAGTTTATATATATTGGCGACAAAATTTTGCTATACACGTCTAAGAGTATTTGACTACTTTCATCCTGTCAGCTTATAATATATCATTTGTAGTACTAATAACTGTTTTCATTTCTTGTTCTTTTCGAATTGTATGTAAGTCTTAGAAAACAAGAAGTTTCACAAGAAAAGTCCAAGATTTTGATATTTATCATTCTCTTATAAACGCGTGTATGCATTTCATTTTTTTTTTCTGTATCTGTCAACATCTGCATTTCAGTTAGTATTGTTATTATGCTAATAGACACGGCCCTTACAAAAGATGTGGTTAACATTACCGTAATAAGCGTAAAATTCAGAACTTTTCTATACTTTGTTTTGTTTTAAGAAAAAAATCATATTTCGAATCTCATCTTCTAGGAATGATTAAACTCGTACTAAAATATAGCAATTGGTGACAAAGTCAATTGTAATATTAAGTTATTAAAAGTTCAAAGATGCACATTTGGCTTATTAGCTTACTTTCATATTCAAGCTGACATACTATATATACTATTAAAGTTGATTTTATATCAAATGATATGATGAAGTCGTTTGTACATCAGTTTCACTAGAGATTGTCTAATTTTTTATAACATTAATTATCTTAGAGATCAAACGACCTTCATATGTTGAAAACTATAGTCTTCGTAGACATGAGTTGCCAATGAACTGAATTTATACGTTACTTTCAAAGATATCACAAAACATGTACTTTGATATCAAATTTGGAATTCGGATCAAAGTTAGAGTACTCACGAAAAATATAAGTTATCATCGTACATATAAAACATATAAAACTATATTAACCTTTCGTTTGACCAGAACTAAAGAATATCAAGAATATCAAAAATACGTACTGACTACTGATTATGTATTCCAGTTTGACCATGTATACTGCACAATACAATTACACAAGACATTCGCATGTTTGAGTATATTGATAAAGTGTGTAAGGAAAAAGTCAAATATACGCACTCGACATAAATATATACATACGCGATCGTCATTGGCATTTTCCAGCCATAAGTTTTCGTAAACAGCAACATCGAGATTCGCTTACTAAAGTCAACTGCGTTTACATAATTCATTTCAACCCATTTGGCTTCAACGATTATAAGAGCACTATAAGCTATTCTACGTTTTCTCACGACTTATAAACAAGGACCAGTGTGACTTCACGTATCCGGTCAGATTGGTTCGACGACGGACCAAAAGATAGTTAGTCGTTGTCTTTTTTGAAGTGGAATATTCAATCAACAAAGCGTTGACTATTGGTTGACTAAAAGCTTGACAATAATTTTCTTGCTATGAAAAGAAATGAACTAAAATAGTGTTTGGTTTGGTTTGGTTCAGATTGGGATTAGCTATGTTATATGGTTTAGCACACATTTTGCAGTAGAGGATTGTGGGATGGAGGAGTTCCTTCGAAGCAGAAATGAATATATCGAAAGTGTGAAAACAACTTGGAGAAGCGATCTTGAAGCGGTCAACAGATCAAGCGTGAATCAGAGTAAGATATAGTATATGATAATACATAAGTCAAAGTTCTATGAAACAAATATTTTAAATTTTCCAAAAAGAACAAGAAAAATCAAAATCATATTCACGATATTTGCTCAGAGATGTTGGAAAAAAACAACTCATGGCAAAATGTCAGAATACTCTGTTGTCCATTAGAGCATTGCAAGAAAATGACTTAATAGCCTTAGCTCCCGTTTTAACATTTCATCGGTCGATGTATGGACGGTGATTAAAATTTGACTCTTGACATCATCCTTACAAGTACCAACTCATAGAATACCATAGATCTCTAGTCCTAACCAAGAATGGGGCTAATTCAAAAACAGTACTGCTTTTCATTTTAGAAGAATATCTGAACTTTGTTAACACCAATTACATTTTTATGAATATATAATGCTCACTTCACCGGATAGAATTTCTTTAGTCAATTCTTTACAAGTTCCTCTTCGGAGTTTGACTTTTAAATTGTTTACGTTTTCTGACCGGATTTCCCGGTTTAGTAACTAAAGTTGGATGATACGCTGAGATAATTTTCAAAAGTCTAAAGGGTTTATACAATGATATGTTTGAAGAATCAAATCTTTAATTGAAAGATAGTATCAGATACATAATAGAAGATGAAGATCTTTGACAGCAAAGACAGAGGTAGACATCAGAACAACATTACTAAACCTTGATGGCATACTTTCTAATAGGAAAGTACATTTCTTTCTTCTCTTCTCTTTCTGTCTTCAGAGACGCCTATGATCCAATACAAAGAATAAATCATTCAGTAACAAAGAATAATGCAATTGAATTGAATGGAATATATTAGAGAAACCATAACAAAAAATTACCTGGTGCTTTGTTAGTCTCCTTCTGATGGCTCTAGTCTTCTTGGGACGGAGATCGAATGGCAACAACTTCTTGTTTTTGTATGCTTCTCTAAGAGCAGACTTTTGCTTCTGTGAAACCACAGTTAAAACCTGTGCAATCGACTTCCTCACAACTTTGCTGCAACAACACAAAATATCTCATTCAGATTTGTAATAACTTTCTCAAGTGATGCTTAGCAAGATGGATAAAAATCATAAAAGACTAAGCCAAAAATTATCTTTCTATTGCAGACATACAAAGCCCATAAGGAAAACTGGAAATGCGAGCAAGTTGTGTAGCAAAAGGCCAATTTTGGGTTTGCGTTTACAATTAACAATGAAATTTTGTTAATGATGCTAAAAGTGAACATTTTTCCGAAGAAAAACACACACAAAACAGAGAAGCAAACGCAATATATAAGAATCACAAATCCATAAGGCAGATACAATGAATACACAGACTAATCACATGAATGTGTGAAATGCATAATCTAGAAGACAGAGACACCATGAAAAATGCAACATAAAGCCAGAAACCACTAGCTAGATCACACTCATAAAAAGGGCCTAAAGTGATTCCTGAATTTCAAGCAGCTTAAAATATTTAAAACCCAGAATCTCAAAATGCAACATTGATAATGAAATTGAACCCCAAAAAGAAAAGAAAAATCGAATGTTTCCGTAAGCGAGAGAGAACATACATCTTAGAGAGCTTGTTAGGAGCACCACCAGTGACCTTAGCGACGCGGAGGAGAGCAAGCTCCGCCTTCAGATCATTCAACTGAGTAGAAAGATCAGATTTCCACTTATCCCTCAGCTCATGAACCTTGATTCTCGCTGTTCATATTCCAATTTCACCGAGAAAGTGATCAGAATAAGAAAAACTCACGCATGAGAAATTTTCCACAGGAGCAAAACGGAAGAAGATGAAAAACGCCGGAAATTAATTGTGGAAATGATTCAGAACTGAGCCTTACCCATGGCGTCTTCGAGCTCTCAGCTTTCTCTACTCTCTTGTGTGCTGTTACGAACCCTAAATTTTGAGTTTGAAGATGAATATTGTAGTTGATGGGTTTGGGTTATCGTGAGTTAGATTTAATGGGCCATATGTTTTTTAATGGGCCGTATGTTCCATCTTGATTGATTGGGTTATCACCTAAAATTTCTTAAAATCACTGGCAGTCTAAAATTGTGTCTTTTTAATGCCTTTTAAAAAATTCGAAATTTGTGACTTTTAAAAAAAGTCATAATTTTTTTTTTTTTTTTTTTTAAGTCAATCAAAAATTTCACAGCCAACGGTTTAAAAGCAACGTCATAACCATCTCAATCTAATTCTAATCTTCTCTATCATATGATCCGACTCTTTTCTCATCTCTGTTTTGTTTTTGTTCTTCTTTTTAACAAGGGTTGTTTTATTTGTTTTTCTGGTTGATAAATCTCTTATCTTGACTCCCGTCTTTTATAAATTGAAACAAAATCCAGGTTTACTTCTTAATCAGGAAAAATAAATAAAAACAAAACAGAACATCATGGTGAAGTACGAAGAGGTTTGTTCTAATCTCTCTCTTGTCAATGATGAATTAGCTCTTTTATCGTGCATGCTCTATTAGAAAGAAAAAAACAAGACTATCTATGCATTGCTTATCTATCGTTTGTTGATTAATTAATTGATATTTATTTTTTGTTTAACGTTGTGGTTAGAATTATGTGAAGAACTCACGAGGGATAGAGCTGTTCACGTGTTCATGGAGACCAAAGCATCATGAACCAAAGGCTTTGATCTTTCTATGTCATGGCTACGCAATGGAATCAAGCATCACCCTGAACAGTTCCGTCTTTAAATTTATAACTAATCATCAATTTACTCATAGCAAAATTAATTAGCACATTTTTTTATATGATTACTGTTAATTAACTTAAATTGATGGTTAATTAATCATCAGGCACTGCAATGAGATTGGCCAGGGCGGGTTTCAAGGTCTACGCAATGGACTATGAAGGGCATGGTAAATCCAAAGGATTAGAGGGTTACATCAGAAACTTTGATCATCTTGTTCACGACGTCTCTTCTCATTACGTTTCAATTTGTGGTAACTAAATAATCCATTTTCTTTCTTAATTAATTTCTATAGTTAAAGAATGGTAGATAATAATAATGTATATGTTTTGGAAATGGTGATGAACGTGAAGAGAGGGATGAGAATAAAAGGAAGATGAGGTTTCTATTAGGAGAATCCATGGGAGGAGCAGTCGGGTTACTGTTGGCGAGACAGAAACCCGATTACTGGGACGGTGCCGTTTTAATCGCCCCCATGTGTAAGGTTCGTGTTCTTAAGAGTTTTAACACAAAGCCTAAACATTTATAAACACTTCTAATTAAGGAAGCAAATAAAAATGGATTTTGGTTTTTTTTTCTTGCGTACAGCTAGCAGAAGAGATAAAGCCACATCCAATGGTGATCTCATTTCTCACAAAGCTAACTCGATATATTCCAACTTGGAAGGTAGTTCCTAGCAACGATATTATTGACGTCGCATTTAAAGAATCCCACATAAGAAAACAGGTAACACCATGTACTGATTACATCATTTTATTTTAATATATAGTTTTAGACGTTTTCTTTATTAAAAAAAAACAAATATTTTTAAAGGTAAGGGAAAATGGGTATTGCTATAAGGGACGGCCTCGCTTGAAAACCGCTCATCAACTCTTACTTGTTAGCTTGGATCTTGAGAAGAATCTTCATCAGGTCTCTCATCTTTCTACTTATTTGTAATTTCCTTGATATCTCCAACAAATTTGTTGATAAACATATGGAAATTGAAATTAAACAGGTAACGTTGCCATTTATTGTCCTTCACGGAGAAGAGGATAAAGTTACAGACAAAGACGTAAGCAAGCTACTATACGATGTGGCTTCAAGTTCGGACAAGACTTTTAAGTTATACCCGAAGATGTGGCATGGGCTTTTATATGGAGAATCTCCTGAGAATTTGGAGATTGTGTTTGGTGATATCATAAGATGGTTAGACGAGAGAGCTACTGTTACAAACGAAAGGTTAGAGAGTGAGTTAAAGCATATTTATGATGGTTTCTCTATGCATAAATAGTGTTGTAATTAAAACTCCGAGTTTAATGTATTACTAATATTCTATACGAATACTGTAACTCTTGTACAGCAGTATAATACAGGCCATGACTTGTGCCGTACGAATGTTTTATGTTATTACTATACGAATGTTGCAATTTTAGCAAAAATGCATTGGGGTGTTTAAGAAAAAGAAAAAAAAACATTCGAATATTTCTGTTTGAGCTCATCAGTCATCACAGGCCTCACAATTTTCTTGGAATAAGAAATGGAAATGTTAGAAGACAACTTATGACTTTAGAGACCACGTCATAAGTTGAGTGATTAAAGAAAAAAGTCTTAAGTGAGAAACTAGAATTTGGGAAGAAAAAGTAACCAACCTTCTTGTTAGTACTTAGTAGACTTAATTGTGCTTTATTATGAAGTTACATGCAGGTTTTACTAAATGATGACGTTTAAGAAAAACAAAAGAAAAAACTTAACCCGTCATTAGTGCGTACTTTTGGGGTTATGAAATTGCTAAATTTAGGTCCACCCAAAAAATTAGTAATAGTTCTCGCAAGCGAAGAAAAAGGACATTACCATCTTCTGATTCAACCCTTTATAGAACATTTCTTCTTCCACAAGAAACAACATCCTAACGATAACTTTTGTAATGTTTTAATTGCTACTCGATCACTACATTATCTGGGATAAAAACAAGATGGTTAGTTGTGTTCTTCTTCTCTACCATATAAAGTATTTATATGTGATTTGACTTTTGGTCATCTACAGGCTCATATTGATGGCCAAGTTGGATATAGCGAGGTAAATTTCACTACTCGATTTCAAGATTCATTGTTTTGTCCTATCTATCTAATGAACAGGTCGATGATTCTGATTTTAATTGATTAATTAGGAATTCATCGAGAATTCACGTGGAATACAACTCTTAACCTGCAAATGGTTTCCAGTGAACCAAGAACCAAGAGCTCTAATCTTCTTTTGCCATGGCTATGCAATTGATTGCAGCACCACATTTAAAGGTATATATTTATTTACATAGGCATCCATTGGAGATTAATGATGAACAAAGAGGTGAATGTATATTAAATTTACATGTAGATGTCGCATCTAAGTTTGCAAAAGAAGGTTTTTCTGTGTATGGAATTGAGTATGAAGGGCATGGAAGATCGAGCGGCCTCTCTGTCTACATTGATAACTTCGATCTTCTCATCGATGATGTCTCTTCACATTTCTCCAACATATCTGGTAAATCTCCTTTCTTGACCTCATGATTACACTTTGACACTGTTGAAAATGCTTACATTGGATATCAGCATATATGGTTGAAAACTCATTTTCTGCGTTTACGTTTTCATTTACATGAGAAAATATAACATTTTCAGTTGTTTCTATAAAATCTTCTATTGGATGTGACGTTTTTTCATTTATTTTTTAATAGCAAAGGAGCTTTCCAATCTTAAAAATGTTACAGAAAATATTTAAAGTTGTGGATTCATTTATTTGGCAAATTTTGATTACAACAAATTAATTTGAAAATGAGAAGTCTCGTGCGAACGCACCATATTTCCAAACCCTAATGGTGTACGTGTCTGGATTTTGTTGGTTCTCTACGTACGGCAGAGATGGGAGAGAACACAAAGAAGAAGAAGTTTTTGATGGGAGAGTCAATGGGAGGAGCCGTAGTTCTTCTCTTGCACCGCAAGAAACCAGCTTTTTGGGATGGAGGAATCCTTATTGCTCCGATGTGTAAGGTGAACATATTCACATTTATGATCTTTACTTCATTTCATTAAGAATCACAATCATGTATATATAATTACAATGTGTTGAGTGACAGATTGCTGAGCAGATGAAACCACCAAGAATGGTTCTATCCGTGATGAATATGGTCACGAATCTAATCCCATCATGGAAGTCGATCCTTTCGGCACCTGATATCATCAATCTCGCAATTAAACTGCCTCAAAAGAGACAAGAGGTACTCTACTTTCCTTTTCTCTATACATAGTTCCTTCGGACCAGATAAGAGAGAATCCAAATATAGCAATTTGGATTCACTGACCTTTGTTTTTTTTTTTTAAACAGATAAGAGAGAATCCAAATTGCTATATTGGGAGGCCTCGTATGAAGACGATGAGCGAGCTTTATAGAGTCAGTGTCGATCTAGAGAATCGGTTGCACGAGGTACTATATAGAACCAAATTTATGTTGCCGGTTGCTCCATATGATAATTTATACTTTTGTGTTTATTACAAAATACACATTTTTATAAAGGAAACAAAAAAGACATTTTGAATTTTTCCTAGTATACATAAAAGGTTGTGGTTTTATTTGGACAAAGGTAGATTAAGTAAAATGATAATTGAAATCTTAATGTAAATATGCATGTGAGTAGGTGACCATGCCGTTCATAGTATTGCATGGAGAAGATGATAAAGTGACGGATAAAGACGCGAGCAAACTGCTTTATGAGGTGTCTACGTCCAATGACAAGACTTTGAAGTTGTATCCAGAAATGTGGCATAGCCTTCTTTTCGGGGAACCTTTGGAGAATTCAGAAATTGTGTTCAGTGACATTGTCCAATGGATGCAGACAAGAATTACTACTCTTCATGTGAAGGCTCATAACAATGAAGCAAAATCGTAAATATGATTTGGATTTACTATCAGATTCGGTTTAGCCTATGTCTATAACATTACGTATTGTTCTTTTCTCTAAGATTCTTAACTGCAAGTTTGCAACTACATTAAAATAGAGAAATATTTGATATTGATGGGCTCCTTTTCCGAACAAACGCGGCGCAGTTATTTTAGTCTAAGCCCATGTAAATATGACAATTCTGGGGGAGAGAGTCAAAAAAGGATTAGAAGAATGGTCAACTTTTAGGAGCAAAAAGGATAAGAGTTGAGAGGAGTAAGTAGCAAATTAGTTGATTATTATTATATTTTCATTATGATAAAGGAAACCAGAGGTTTAGTTTAAATACACAATCCTCAACTAAAGCAACTAAAAGAAAAGCAACAACAACTCCACTCCATACCATATATCATCTCATCATCCTCCAAGTTTCTTATATAAACAAACCCATTAGATAGTAGAAAATAAACACAAACAAAAACACAGAACAAGAGAAGAGCAATGTCCAAATCTCTCAGCATAACCATCTTTATCCTCCTCTTGGTAGCTTCTAATGTCCACTCAGCTAGACTTCTCGATGAGGTCCAAACTCAGCCACAACTAGTCCCCAACACCCAAATCCCCACCATACCAGAAGAGGAGGATGATAGTCCACAAGCCGCCACAACAACAACTCCAACAACAACACAACCTCCATTACCAATTCCTCTCCCTCCAGGAGGACACGTGCCAATCCTCGAGTTCTTCATGCACGACGTGCTAGGCGGGTCACACCCATCAGCACGTGTGGTCACGGGGATAGTAGCACAAACAGAAGTAAACGGAATACCATTCTCCAAATCCAGCAACAACATTTTCCCAGTAGATAACGCTGTCCCGCTTGTGAATGCAAACAACATCAACAATCTAATCAACCCAAACACAGCTCCACTCCTCACAGGGCTCAGTGGCTCTCAAGCCAACACCGTCATCCAAAACTCTAACGGTAACTCCCAAGGATCACTTAGCTCCAACAATCTTCCTTTTGTAACCGCAGGTCAACTCCCTCCAGCAGCTGCTCTCCAGCAGCTCATGTTTGGTACCATCACCGTCGTCGATGATGAGCTCACTGAAGGCCATGAGCTAGGCTCTGCGATTATTGGAAGAGCCCAAGGGTTTTATCTAGCTAGTTCTTTGGACGGAACTAGCCAAACACTTTCCTTGACCGTGTTGTTCCACGGAGAGCATGATCATCATGACACTCTCGATGATGCTATCAGCTTCTTTGGGGTCCATCGAACGGCTTCTCACGCCTCGCATATAGCTGTTGTGGGTGGGACCGGGAAATTCGAGCATGCTAAAGGGTACGCTGTCGTGGAGACTCTTCACAACCAAGAAGACCAGCATGTCACTGATGGTCACGATACCATTCTCCATTTCAGCATTTATCTTACATACTACAAAGCTTGAAGAGTAATTTAGCTCTTATCGAAAACTTTTCTTTATTTCATCTGTATGTTCTTCTTTTACTAGTTTCATGTGTGGCCTTTGTTTGTGTTGTGAACGTCTAGTGTTGTGGTAAGAAAATGGCTTGAATATTAAAATACTATCTTTTGAATTGGGTGCTTTTTGGCAAATACTTTGTGCGTTTCGTAAAACAGTTTTATGTCTATACATACAAAATGAAAAGATTGTGGAAACACTTTGAGATTATCATCAAAAGCTCAAGTTAAATGAGCTAAAATAAGATGATTTCTCAAACAAATCCACATAGTCATGACTCATGAGTCATGAGAACTCCATGGATTATACGAATCCGAGATTAATTAGTCGGTAATTTGGTTTCCACATTATTGTTTTCATATTTAATTAAAGTAAAATAAAATGTTAAATATAATTTTTATTATATTTTACATATATATTTACATTTCTTGCATATGAAATAATTAAAAATAAATAAATATCTACCGTGTAGGCAAAATATAGATGATTTTCTGTTAATTTATGTTTTTGTCAATTTAAAATCGAAACTTCTAAAATGATTTTGGTTGTTAGAAGTTATAACAGAGCAAAATAAACTTGTTAGCATATGGAATCCACCACTATGATAAAATTTTCGAATAATAGTTTTGAATTAAGGTGAAGAAGACCATAATTAAACAATTTATTTGGATATACACACATGATATGCATTGATACAACTAAAACGTCGCCACATGAACGATCGATGTATGAGCGTCCGTTTCCTATTATTAATTAAACAAAGGAAATGTGGACCACGTATATATAACGTACCGAAAGGAGTGTCATCACTCCTTTTTCGTCTGTCTTTCTTGTTGGACCGATGCGAAGAGATGAAATATGATATACATATAAACATGCATGCGTCAGGGAGAAATCGTTTTCATGAGATTCATATATAAAAAAAGTATATATATAAGGTTCTTAAGATCTTGCGAACATCGCGATCAGTCGTCGGATTCTTTAGATGAATCCGAGATTATCTTCTGTATCATCTGGTTTGTCTCTTCCTCCGACATTTGGTCTTGTTTGCTTTGTCTCTCCTCATACGCCTTGAAGAATTCCTTGTTCTCTTTCTCCAGCTCCTTCCAAACTGTATTTTTTTTTTGTTTCCAATTGATTCACCATAAATGATGATAAAAGAAAGGAATGATTAAAAAAAACTTTATTATTAGTTCACTACACAAATATGTCTGAATTATGATACAGCAGAGACGAATTCATTTCTTTTTTCTTTTTTTTTTGTATACAAAATTTATCTTCCAAGGCAGTGTATAACCAAGATCGATCGATCACGGGAGATCACACAAAATTATATAGGTAGGTACGTCTATATCACAAGATAGAATGCTACATGATGGTATAATTATAGGTGGTATGCCTAAAATTTATACATATTATCCCTTGGTACGGAGGGATATGTACATGTGTGTATACGGATTGTAAGGAGAGAGAGTGTATACGGATTGTAAGGGGGGAGAGAGAGAGAGAGAGAGAGAGAGAGAGAGAGAGAGAGGCAAACCAGTAGAGGTGATGACAGGAGTGATGTTTGCATGCTTAGAGAGAGCTTCCACACACTCTTCTTTGCTCATATGGAAGATCAAACATTTTTCTATCATGTGCTGCACCTGTACATACATAAACCCATCCAGAGATAAATTGAGATACACATAGAAGAACAAATATAGATTAATCACTTGTCGAGTCAAGGAAGAAGTACATGGAGTTCTTGAATCATATAAAATATTACCATGTGAATGTAAGAAGCCGAGGAAGAATCTGCCATTGGAAACCCTAGATTAGCACAATAGCACCTAACGTTGAAAGATAACCTTCTCTAAAAGACACTTGTGGAGATAAAGACACTCATATATAGAAGAAGATCACGCAAAAAAATAAACAACAAGACAAAAGAGTGAATAGTTGAATGATGATATACATGCATGGGGCCAGGAACCCCACGTGGGAGATTGATCATAATTGGCTGAGAAAGGATTAGAGGAGATTTGTAAAATCACTCTTTCTCTCTTCTCCCTTCGTTCTTTTCATTTCCATCCCACGCTTTATCCACGTGATCCATGGCCCCCTCGCTCTCCTTTTTTTTGCAAGAAAACACTTAGTCATGTTTTTATTTCCATAATCTTCTAGAAATCAATACTTTTTTCTTTGTTAATGGTTATATAAAATGGCCCCCTCTCTCTCCTATTTTTTGCAAAAAAACACTTAGTCATGTTTTCATTTCCATAATTTTAGAGAAATCTATACTTTTTTCTTTGTTAATGGTTGTATAGATATATATAAAAATTAAATTTTTAGGGGTCCTATTTGCTGTAAAAGATGACTGCAGTATATACGAGGAATCGAACAAATACGCAATTTTAGAGGAGTGATAAGTAAAATGGAACATGACTTGAAAATTTGTAATTAACAGTCTTCTTCGTGAGCCATGTATAGTGTGAAATCTGTACTTCTAATTTTTAACACTTTTTAAAAGAGATGCAATGTATAGCTCCGGTGACTACCGTTGTGGGTTCGACTTCGATCGATTTGACATTTGATAGATATTAAGTGGAAGAATGAAAAGTCGGATGAACAAGACATAGTTATTTGAATATGATACATATGGTGTTGAATCTACTGATTATTTGTGGTATAGTTATTATTTTGGCTAAATTTCCAAAGATACCACCCTTTAAAAAAAAATAGTTTTCTTACCTTTTTTACAAGAAAATCAATATGAGGAATATGTAGAATTGGCGGCAGATCACAAGTGAGAGCTTCTTAACCAGTCTGAAAAAATTCTGAAAAAGTCGACAAAAGTAATTCTGCAGAGGCGGATTTCGTCAGAGGAGAGGTTAATTAATGCAAGCTCTCTTCTAATTGTTTTGGACATGTTTTTTATGAAGGACGACAGAGAAGGTCCAGATTTTGAGTGATGAAGGTGGATATTTATTTGTTTCCACATTTAGTGTACCGCGGCTTGAAGAAATTAACTTTTTTTTTTTTTTGGCTGGAACTTGGAAGAAACCTGTATGATGTATAGTGATTACGAGGTGCACCTCTTACATGAACAGTCGAGTACTTAAGCTCATTAAATCGGATTATTTTCCACAGTTGATCAAATCAAAGCATATGCAAAGTTCATTGGCCAACTCGTCTCTAGGTCTACGAATATTTGTTTTAAAATGCCTACTGCTATCTATATATGGCCTAGTAATTTTTCTCTTAGTTCTGTTTTCCATTTTTTTGTGATTAGAATTTTAAAAAAGTAAGAAAAGAATCAAACTAAATTGTCTACTCTTAAGTGAAAGCAAGAGAGATATGAACTTGCTATATCGAATCGTAAATTTATATAAACCATATGTTAATTGTAATAGTGAGGTAATCAGGTAATCCATACATTAATAAAATTATGTCGTAGTTTGAATAATAAAAGAGCCAACGAACTTTTACCTGAAATTTTACATTATAAAAAGTGTGGGTACATACCTTAAGGACAGAAACCCATTTCTGATACTGAATTGTCAACATACTATCTTATTATATAAAATATAAAGTACATACGTTAAGGACTGTACGTGGGAATGTATTATAGCATCAAAGGCAAAATTTGTGTATGATCTTAGTTTTTGTGCACAACTAGTTATAAGTAATATAGCACCAAAGGAAAAGTTTGAGCTCCAATGGATAGATGATATCATTGATACAGATTAGCGGAAAACATTGAATCTAAGATCAACTAAAACCTTGCATTTCCATCTTTTTTGTTAAAGTCCTTGCATTTCCATCTTTCGTTTTTCTTTTAAATTTTGTATTGATTAATAAAACCAACCAAATATCTCTCTCTATAAATAATTAAATACTTTTCAAAATTTTACCATCTATATAATCGACACATTAAAAAAAAAATTCGGGTATAGCCGGATAGACCACAATGACATGTGTAGTGTGTAGTGTGTAGTTGTGTACGTTACGATGATGGAATGCAAAAATAAAAAGGGTGATCAATATTCAATAGTTTTTTGGTTGGGTAAGAGGACGCGGGAGATTAAAGTTTTTGATTCGAGACCAATAGAATGATGACATCTCACGCATAACAATCTACATTGAGATCAAATAATCGCAAACAGTAGAATCAGCTGAGTGACGTGGCGCAAATGGACAAGCAAGAGAGAGAGAGAGAATATACAAAGGTTACGTAAAGAAGTCCCAGACAAACACATAGGGGGTGTTTTTTGTTAAAAAACACATAGGGGGTGTTTTGTCGAGATCTAAGGTTTAGAAGGATCCATCAAATTTCAGACGTTTGATATAACAATACATTCCTCATATGTGGACCTCTCATTTTCGAGTCCTGAAAACAGCAACTATTCCCTCGAATCAAATTCAAAACCCTATTCATCACTTTCTCTCTCTCATTCCTCCGCCTGTTTTCTCTCATCCACTTATTCCTTTACCATAGATACTTCCTTATCCTAACTCTTACGTGCCATTATGATATCATTTTCATTTCAATCCGTATGAGTGAATCAATAGTTACGACTTCCCATGTAAAACACATTTATAATAGCGAACTAATTTTTGAAAGCGATTTATGTGTAGCACATGCAGATCATAACCAAATAGAAAAAAATCTATACCAATTAGTGAAAGCAAATCATAACCACTTAAACTTCTTTTCGTGGTTATGTTTGGCATCTTGTGATCGTATATCAGCTCTAAAATACTGGCGTAAGAAAATGTTGAAGTTGATTATTATTCTCTTGAAACTATATTCATGATTATTCCATGTTTTGGATCCCATTTTGTCCAAATTGACAAGAGCCATCAAGAATCGTTGATTTTTCTATACTTCTATCGAGAATGTAAATTTGGTAGGGTTTATGATAATACTTATTTACATGCATTAAGAAAATACGAAATATAATATCACTGGAGACGAGACAGCATAAAGAGACAAAAGTGGTGCAGTAGAGTCGTATTATTGCCCGTTAACTCAATTTTCAAACCAAAAGCTCTCAGAAAGCAAAACCCAAATTTGTCGCAAAGACAAGTGGAGATTCTATTGACCACACCCGCCCACTTGATTTTTCTTCTCTCTGAGCCAATTGCAGTTTCAAAATTTTAACCTTTTCTAATTTGTTTTGCTAAAGTGTACGATGTGATTGAGTTTTCATTTATCCAATGAGAGCATGCCGTGTCAGCAAAACGGAATAAGTTTGTTGTATTTTTGCCTGCGAGCCAAGATAATTGACTGAAAGATGTATCATGTATGTATGATATTATAGGTATTCAATTATTTTCTCTAACAAATCTGAGCTATTTGGTCGTACCAGAAAAGGAAAAAATAATCGGTTTGATTAGTCTGTATCTCAAGTCTCAACCTGCACTTAGATGTTTTATTTCTGTTCAACGGATACACATCGAGTATATCATTAAAATGCTTAAGTTTGGTTAAAAGTACAAAAAAAAAAAAAAAAACTTGATAGAAATATGGAACAAATTAAAGATAAACAACTAAGTTCTCTTTATGTTGGAAATATGTATAAATAAGAATATACGTACTTCTCAGTTTCAAACTAGATTAAAATGGAACTACTCACTAATTTGTACTAATTTACTATGTACAAATTGTCCAAGCTAAGAAACAAAACCTACAACTTTATATGGCTGCACCCATATAGTGTGGATCCAACTTTAGGTTATGATTCCATCTTTGGACACAATTTAGGAAAATCTTATACTATTTTGAAGATGTCAACTTAGGATACCTGAATACCCTGCACTACCAGATGTATAACTAATAGTATTAGACTATTCGACTAGGGGGTGTCTCGACTAATACATGGAACATATTTATTATGTATTGCCTCCATATGCAGTTTTGACTTAGAATTGCAGAACTGTCTATTATTATTTACATGCATTCTCATATCCCTTCATAGTCTCGATCACACTCTTCAAAACACGACGGCTTAAGTTTCTTTTATTAAGTCAATTCGTTTGTGTGTGTGTGTGCAAGCTTGATTTGTTTGAAGATTCAATTAACAAGCAACGTTAACTATGTTTACAAACGTAGTTAGAAACCTAATACTTATAGCTAGTGTCATTGCATCGAAATCTCTCCATGAGACCAAAACTGATTGTGTACGATCGAATTCTAACAAAAGGTGCATCAAAGGTTGCATATAGATCCGTCTTTTTCTTTTAGAAATCAACTTTCTACTCTCTGTTCTAAGGACAGCCCATGAGCTCAGCAGGACTCCTAGATTCGAGGTTACCAAGTACTATTCCGTCTAATATCTTCGAATCGACTGTATACTATGGTTCATATCTGTCTTATTCGAGTATCTACAATTTGATAAAAAAAAAAAGGGGTCAATTCTTATATATCAAATCAATCAATAGAAACACGTCAATAATTTCGATCGGACAAAACATATTTGAACGGTTAAATATTTCTTAGATGTACGGAATTTGAGGTATTCACACGTTGTCGGTTGTTCTAGAAAAATATCAATATATTTGAAATCATCATGGTTTCGAATGTTACCCATTACACCATGCACTACTTCAAATGTTTTGCAGTGTTTCACATATAACGAATTATTTAATGCAGTTTATCATCCATATTTTCGTGGTTATATCGGAAAGTGACATACGTAACGCATATTCTTTTGTGTCAATCATCATCTTATATAAACAAATTTGAATCAGATATGATTTGCTATGTCATACTCGTCTTTTGTGTCAATCATCTTTTGTGTTTTCAAATTGTGGGCTTCACATAGAGAAGCCCAATATGAGTTTTCTACTCAAAAGAAACATTTTTGTCTTTATCCTTTTTCGGTTTAAAGGGTTAATTAATTTCTCTGGAATCATTTAACAGGGCTTTTTGCCTTTTTTCCAATGTTAACACTAGTGTTTAACTGTTTTTACCCTATGACATAGTATTTGATTTTGGGTATTAATTTGATTACAGTATTAATTTGTTCCTAATTAATTAGTGAAGAACTTTTGAAAGACCATTTTTTAATTTGAAGAGAAATTGATACGGAGAAGATAACGTATATAAAGATGAGGTTGAGATTATCCAAAGAGCTTCCATTTTTTCACAGCCATGGTGGTTGTCACCCACATCTCCACTTCCTTCCACCAAATCTCCCCTTCCTTCTTCCATCTCCGCCTCCGCATTCCCGCCACCTCCCCTGCTTCTTCTTCTCGTCCCAGACGCGACGACGGAGGAGGAGGACACGGCGGTTTCGCCTTGTCAATCCGAGCTTACATAGAGAAACCCAACTCCTTCTCCAGCTTCGCCAACAAAGTCATCGGCTCGCTTCCGGTCATCGGACTCCTCGCCAGGATCCTCAGCGATGAAGGCGGCGTCGGAAGAGATCTCGTCGATTTCGCCGAGTTTAGGAAACGCGTCGGGAATAAATGCACCCCTATGGATTCTAGAGCTTTCTACGAGTTCCAACAGCGACGAGGCAAAGTAAAATTTCTGCTTTTTCCCAATCAATTAGCAACAAATCAGTTTAGTCACTTCAATTTTCTTCTGCTGCAAAATGGAAAAAAAAAAAAAAAAAAAAACAGTTACTTACATTTACAAAATTTGAGCATAGAGATCCAGAAAGTTCAATAATTTAAAGTTCGAGAGTTAGAGTTTGATCATATAATATGTGGAACAATTACAGTGATACATATTTACATAGGCATTTTTGTTTAGATTCTCTATGATTTTACAACCAATCAAGCAACTGTTTTAGTGTTTCTGTTGATTTTCAGATAATTTGTAGTGTTCATAAGAGTTTCATGATTGGTGTTAATGTGTGATCAGTTTTGTTTTTGAAGTGGCTTTGTTCTGTTTTGTTTGGCTTGGTTGGCATTTTAGTTTTAATTCTCTCTGATTTTATACCAATCAAGCAAATACTTAAGCATTTCTGTTGATTTTCAGATAATTTGTGTTGGATTTGTAGTGTTCATACTTCATAAGAGTTTCCTGATTGGTGTTAATGTGTGTTGTTGCTCTGTTTGGTTTGTGTAGGCAGGAGAGCCATTGTATGTGCTTCTGTGCTGTTGGGTTGCTGCAGTAGGTGCAGGGCTTCTGAAATCTGAAGAGATCCTTGAAGGCGTCACAAGAGTTAGCATTTCAAACGATCTCGAGTTCGAAGAACAGAACTTCATTGCTCTCATGACTGAAGCAAGACAGGTTCGTTTTGTTGTTTCTTTCTTCAGTCTTGTGTAATTTGCTTCCAGAAAGGTTGATACTTTATTTGGTAATGCAGAGAAGGGCGAAGTTAAACGTTGCGGCGCCAACGATTCCGATGGAACTGAGAGTCGAGAAGGCGCTTGAAGGTATCTATGCTTGTTGCTTCAGGAGAGGAGTGATCGAAGAAGAAGACGAGGAGCTTCTTCTGGTGATGCTAACTGCTGTTTTCCCGTCGGTGGAGAAGTCTGAGATTGAGAGAATCATCAAAGAGAAAGCTAATAGAGTCGCTGAAGGAGGAGAAGAAGAGAATCTCACGGCCGAGAAACGTCTTCCCAAAGAAGCTATTCAAATGCAAATGAAGGATCTTGAGTTCCTTCAACAAAGCAGCATAGAATCTTAACAATGGCCTAAAACATTGTATTTATGTTGTGATAATTTACTGAAGAATCTTGTTTTAAGCAAAAGACGTTTTAGAAAGAAAGGAAATAAAAAACGTAACTTTTTATAGTTAGGAACATGATTCCACCGAACTAAAACCGAAACACATGATGATGATGATGACTTGGAGTGGTCGTGTAATAAAATAAACTAAGAAAAGGAGAGTGAAGAAGCTCAGATTAAAAAGTTTCTTTCTCATGTAATATCCGTCAGAGGTTGACCAACAACACTCATTTCAAAAGAAATGGCACTGAATCTTCTTCCTCTTCATACCCTTTTGATATTCGTATCCATCATCAATTCGGCTCTGTTATCGTCGGCTGATCAAGATTCTCATCCTTATATATGGCCATTGCCGGCGGAGTTTTCCTCAGGAGAGGAGACCCTCTCGGTGGATCCGGGCGTTTCTTTGATCGTAGCTGGAGACGGAGGCGGATCGCCGATTGTTAGAGCTGCGTTTGAGAGGTATATGGGTATGATCTTCAAGCACACTTACGGTAGAGCTTCTTCTCTCTTGGCGAGGATTAGATTTTTGAGAATGGTTGAGTATGATATCACTTCTCTGAACATCATCGTTCACTCGGAATCTGAGGAGGTAACAGAAAAACAGAATCTCGGAGTCTTTCTTGGTCGAATCTTTTGCTTTTAATTGAAAATGGTAAAAAAAAAAATTGGTTTATTTACATTCAATTTTTTTTCAGCTACAATTGGGTGTGGATGAGAGTTATACATTGATGGTGTCGAAGAGGAATGAGCAATCGATTGTAGGAGCTGCCACAATCGAGGTTTGAGTTTTCACTCATTTGGTTTTTGCTCTTTGCATGTTGCTATGTTTAATTCTCTTTTTATAATTTGTGGTTTCAGGCTAGTACAGTTTATGGTGCTCTTAGAGGATTGGAGGTGTGTAAGTATTTTGAGTAATAATAATGCTCAAATTTGACTTTCTGGTATAAACTTTATTTGCTTGTTTGGTAATTCTGAGAAAAAAAATGTTGCAGACATTTAGCCAATTGTGTGCCTTTGATTATTCAACCAAATCTGTGCAAATATACAAAGCACCTTGGTTTATTCAAGATAAACCAAGATTTGCTTACCGTGGTCTGCTTATAGGTGATGGAATCCTTCATCATCTCTCTTGTTTTAGCTTCCATTATACACATGCGGATGAATCTTTCTTTTACTGACTAGTTTATTTGTGTTTGTAGATACGTCAAGGCATTTCTTACCAGTTGATGTGATTAAGCAAATAGTTGAATCTATGTCGTTTGCTAAACTTGTAAGAACCTGTACTTAAACGTTGTTGAACTTTCTTTCAAGATTTTATTGGATATCATCTAAGTTGTTTGGTTTTTGTGAGGTAGAACGTCCTGCATTGGCACATTGTAGACGAACAATCATTTCCTCTGGAAACACCAACGTATCCTAATCTGTGGAAAGGAGCTTACTCGAGATGGGAGCGTTATACAGTCGAGGATGCCTCTGAGATCGTCAGGTAAAATTTGGCTTCAAGTTTTGTTATGTTTAAGAAGTCCTCCAATGCATATGTTGATTGTTTTTAGTAAATGGTTACATCAATTTTCCACTTTCTGATATTATCTGTATTGTTTTATCTGGCTTTTTGTGTTTCATGGTCTGTTTGTGATCTCCTCCGTGAAGGTTTGCCAAAATGAGAGGTACTTTCTTATATAACTCTGGAGACTTGCATGATTGTTATGGCAAACAACTCCTAGTTTATGTTTGATTACTGTTATATATTCTCAAGGTTGAGAGATATTGATTGCAGGTATTAACGTCATGGCTGAAGTAGATGTCCCTGGCCATGCGGAATCATGGTAAGAATGAGAGAACTTTTTAGTCCTCTTAGTATTACTAATGCTCAAGAATAAGTTATGGTGTATAGGTTTGAGACTTTGAGCTATCATTTATCTTCATTGTCATGTCACTCTTTGAAAGTATGGTTTTGTTCTCAATGCAGGGGAGTTGGATATCCTGATCTTTGGCCCTCTCTGTCTTGCCGAGAGCCTCTTGACGTTACTAAAAACTTTACATTCGATGTGATCTCTGGCATTTTGGCAGGTCTACTTCAACTAGATAGCTAAAAAATTTATAGTTTTCTTTATCCAGGTAGTATTAATCTTGCAAAGGCAAAAAGTTATAAAGAAATCTTGATCTACCTAACACCATATCAGTTTGTGTATTATTATGTAATATGTACATCTATCTGTATTTATCTGTTTAGATTCTCATATTTTTTCTCTTGCATCTTGGTTTTGTAACAGATATGAGAAAGATATTCCCATTTGAGCTTTTCCACTTGGGTGGTGATGAAGTTAATACAGGTTGGTTTGTCTAAAACCTGAAAATCTCAGCTTCCATTTCATTTGGTTGTGTTTTATACTTTCAGTCACTCGCTTCTCTTGAAGGTTAATGGTTTGCATGTTTTTGGCAGATTGCTGGAAAAATACAACTCATATCAAGGAATGGTACAGTCAATGAGTACTCTTCTTCAATCATTCATTATAAGAGATTCTTTTAAGTTTGTTACTGTTTACGCTTGTTGCAATTGGGAAAATCCAAAAAACAGCATCACACATCATTTCACTTTTCTTTATATTTTTGCTTGATGTGTATGAAACTGCAGGCTTCAGGGTCGCAACTTCACGACCAAGGACGCATATAAATACTTTGTGCTCCGAGCTCAACAGATAGCCATATCGAAAAACTGGACACCTGTCAACTGGTATACAATCTATGACAAAGATAGCAGAAAGTTGGTTTGGTTTTGGCTTTGAAAACCATGAGATTGACATGAATATTGAATGATTTCAGGGAAGAGACGTTCAGTTCCTTTGGAAAATATCTTGATCCCCGGACCGTGGTGCAAAACTGGTAAGATCACACATTACAAAGATCTCTTTTGAATGATATTATGTGAATTTTATAATCTTGTTTCTGCAGGCTAGTGTCTGATATATGTCAAAAGGCAGTAGCAAAAGGATTCAGATGCATTTACAGTAACCAAGGATATTGGTACCTCGACCATCTAGATGTCCAATGGGACAAGGTTTACAAGACCGAGCCTCTCAATGGAATCAAACATCCTTCTCACCAAAAGCTTGTGATTGGGGGAGAAGTTTGCATGTGGGGTGAAACAGCTGATACATCCGTTGTTCTTCAGACAATCTGGCCACGAGCTGCAGCAGCTGCAGGTAACATAATTAGTCTCATATCTGCTCCATGGTTCTTGGAGATCATAAAAGACATTTGTGATTTGGTTTGATGGAATGGAACAGAACGGATGTGGAGCAGCAGAGAGGCAGTGTCAAAGGGGAACATAACGTTAACCGCATTGCCGCGTTTGCATTACTTCAGATGTCTACTGAATAACCGAGGTGTTCCAGCAGCTCCGGTCGATAACTGGTACGCACGAAGACCGCCTAAGGGACCTGGCTCTTGCTATGCTCAGTGATCCATTATCATCATTTCATTCCATTGTTTGTAGTATTATATATGTGTAATGTCTCCCTTTGTTTGAAAACTTGATTTTTGCATTTGCTGTTCGAAACTGTGTTCTTCTCAGTTACTCAAATCAAAGTTGGCGTTTTCCGTTTTATCTTGCAACAAGAATAAATCATGAGAACATGAACATCTGAATCTACTATCTTGACTCAAGAGCTCTCTTATCACATTGTTATAGTTATCCATTCTCATATTTACATTTTTAAACATAGTGTTCTAATTCATATACGTTTTTAGTTTTTAGTTTCCTAACGTTCCGTATGAAAATAAACGTTTTATTGTTACATGAAAGTAAAATATAAACTCAAATAAGAACTTATCCAAGTCCATAATTATATACTTATGTTTTAGTTCAACAAGCTATATAGTTGAGGCCTCATCTTAGTATTAAATGATTTTCGTAGAGACAACTATAGCAATGTGGAAAAAACAAGAAAACAAAGATATCTATTGCATTGATTTCGATGTGTAGGTTACAATTATTGACCAAAGAACATCATCTATAACGACTGCGTCCTTAAATTCTCGAGAAAATCCAACGTTATATCATATACTATCAGATTAAAAATTCATGTTTTGACTAGTTCTACTCCTATCTTTTCTAACAAACAATCTCATGAACAATATTTTAATAATTCGCTTTCCAATAGTTTAATCTTAAAGACGTTGATTCCATAGGGTTGTGCCGTTGTTCGTGCTTCATGGGTGGTGTATTTCAGTATACGCTTCGAGAGAGAGATCTAAATTTTGGAAATCTGGAATTAATGTTTTATATTTTGAACACGTATTCGGTAGTATATACTCGTATTTACTATGCATCTAAAAATGTGAGAACAAAAATAATATGAATAATAATAATAAAAAAAGATTCGCAAACGTAAAACAAATAACAAGGAAGAAGAGGATGTTATTCATCATACTAAACAGTTTCAAAAGATCAACACTACTTAGTCTACTTTTGTGAGTCTTTTTTAACTATCAAAATCTCAAACAAATACAGTATTAATTTTCCTTTAGTCTAGCAAGATTATGTGTTGCTTTAATGTTTAAACAGCCGAATATTCAAGAGTCAAAGACATGCATGTAACTTTAGAGAACTCGCTCTTTGATCAGTCTTAAGTACAATTGTTTTTTTCCCAACAACCAGTCTTATTCCAAGTCTAGTTCAGTTTTGGTATGATCAGTTCACTAAATACGACCAATATCATGTTGGTCATTAACTGAAAACAAGTAACTATAAATTTGTGTGAGTAACGTTCAGCGAGAAAGGAAATTAAAATAACGTTGACTAAGCTATGCAAGTGAGAGAAAAAAACGTACAGTTTTGTAGAGAAAAAAAGCTCACAGTATATATAAACATATGATTCATATTATTTCTACTTCACGTGAAAATTATTAAATCAACACTGAAATACTATTTTAACATTTCATGCCTAAAAATCCACATCATTTTCCTGTAAGAAATAAGTAAACTCGATGCCTAAACTATGCGATCGCATGTTGACCAGTGAAGCATCTTTTGGAAAGAACAAAAATACTTCACACGACCTAGTCAACAGAAGAACTTTCCCGCTTTGCTTTTAAAACTGTACTTATGTTATATTTTTTTTTACTAATTATTATGTTATTTTCAGACAAGAAATTTCGAAGGATGATCTCGTTAGAAATGATGGTGCGGTATAAAAGATATAGACTACTATAAGATCACTTAAAATGCTTAGTTTAGTTTAGTACCTAATCATATTTTCTATACAAAAAAAGTTCGAGTTGGTGTACAAATTTATTCAACCACAACGTCAAAAAATGTAATAATGCAGATCGAATAATGCCACATACAACCATATTAATTTTGTTTTATTGCAGTCATATAGTATTATTATAGAAACACAATAGCTTACCGTTCTAAACATGATTGATATTTGATAAGACAACCCTATTCAATTACGTACAGAGGACGTGTCGTTATTAATAATTGTGTTTACTATTAAAATTTGAAGCTACGTACGTAGTAACTAAAATAAAACAAAATAATAGTGTATATGTTTCAGATTTATGCGGTATAATATTTCTTTGCGATGAAAAAGTCTCTTTTTTTTTCCTTCTACAAATAAATATTGCAAACAAGACAAAAATGACGAATAAATAAAACAATAATCATTACTGTCAAATTGTTTTTTTTTTTAATCATTAGCAACAGTCAATAATCACGGGGAAAAGTTACTAAAAGTGCCTACCAATGAGATATCTTCATGCTTTTTTATTTCTTAAAAATTCGAAATTACACAGTTCTCCTATTTTCCTACAATACCAAAACTCAAATCTAAATTGTAATTTTTTTATTTTTTTTTTTGTACCCAGTAGTTTCTATTTCTTTTTAATTTGTATGCAGTAGAAAAAGCATGGAGACTGTTACTAATTTGTAAGAGAGTGAGAGTAAGAGAAGATAAAAATATTTTTTATTCGTTGTGTTAAATAAAAATTCTAAACCCACAAGGTAAATTACTGTCTGTTAGAATTAAATGTTAGAGCTAAAAAAACGTGAGAATACTAATTAAAATGTTTGACAAGCAATAAATGAGATGCTGACAAATTGGTTTCAAAGTTTCAACGCGTTTCTATAAGAATTCAATTTCGTGCAGCTAATCAGGAGAAAAATTAATGACAATTAAACTAATCGTTACTTACTTTATACTAATAATAATAATAAAAATTATTACTGCTTCTTCCCACTTCCCATCTTTCCTTTTGTGTTCTTCTTCTCTGCGCTTTGCCCCATTTCTCTCTCTCTCTCTACGGGAAAAAAAAAGAAAGATCTATCTTTTGACGACTCTCTCAATCTTCCTCACTCCGTAAGTTCCAAATCTCTCTTCCTCTCTCCCGTATCAATATCATCCGAAGAAACACCAGGAGAATTTCTCAAAGCCCTTTTGGTTTTATCATCTTATCAAATTCTCGATTTCTGTTTCGAGTCTATGTTGCCTTTTTTAGATTCTGGGCTCTGTGTTTTCCTTTCTGGAGGTATTTCTGGCGTCAATTGATTTGCTTATTGGAATCATTTCGTCGCTTGAAATCGTCTGGTCACACTGTTTGTTTGTTGTTGTTGTTAGCTTTCTCGTCGAATTTGTTGATTCTGATGTTGCTATTGTGTTTTCTTCTTCTGCAGTTTGGCTATTTCGTGCTTGATCTGATACTGGGCTCTTCTCGCTTCCTGCTTCGAATCCCTATTTTGGTATGTTTTAGGGTTTTAGTCGGAATAGACTGACGGATTCGTGGTGAGAGTTTGATGGTAACTGTTAGATCAGATGTTGAATTAAGCCAAAGCCATCACTGAACTATGGAAGAAGCAACGATTCTTTGCTTGAGTTTTGGTTTACAGTAGAAAAAGGAAAGTTTTTTGTTGGATAAAAGTGAAGCCTTTGCGTGTTGTAATCTGAGATAAGATTGGATGGTGGGAAGAGAGGATGCGACTGGGAACGATGAGGCTCCTCCTCCTGGTCCTGGTTCCAAGAGAATGTTTTGGCGGTCTGCGTCTTGGTCTGCTTCACGCACTGCATCACAAGCTCCTGAGAGTGAGGATCAGCATCTCAACATTCCGTGTGGGAACAGCTCCGGTCCGAGTCGGAGATGCCCGACTGCTCCTTTAACGCCTCGGTCACATCACAACAGCAAGGCTAGAGCTTGTTTGCCGCCACTGCAGCCTCTTTCCATTTCCAGAAGGAGCTTAGACGAGTGGCCTAAGGCAGGCTCGGATGATGTAGGTGAGTGGCCTCATCCTCCAACGCCTAGCGGGAACAAAACCGGGGAGAGACTGAAGCTCGATTTGTCATCGACGCAGAACCGGGTCCCTGATAAGAGCTCTGGTTTAGCTAAGAGGGAGAAGATTGCTTACTTTGATAAAGAGTGTTCAAAGGTCGCTGATCATATATATGTGGGAGGAGATGCTGTGGCGAAAGACAAGAGCATATTGAAAAACAATGGAATCACACATATCCTTAACTGCGTTGGCTTTATCTGTCCGGAGTATTTCAAGTCTGATTTTTGTTACCGGTCATTGTGGTTACAGGATAGTCCATCAGAGGATATAACTAGTATTCTGTACGATGTGTTTGACTACTTTGAAGATGTTAGGGAGCAGAGTGGAAGGATCTTTGTTCACTGTTGTCAAGGGGTTTCACGGTCCACCTCGTTGGTTATTGCATATCTGATGTGGAGAGAAGGGCAGAGTTTTGATGATGCGTTTCAGTATGTGAAGTCTGCTAGAGGTATTGCTGATCCTAACATGGGCTTTGCTTGCCAATTGTTACAGTGCCAAAAGAGGGTTCATGCGTTCCCGCTTAGCCCTACTTCGTTGCTGAGAATGTACAAAATGTCACCGCACTCCCCTTATGATCCTTTGCATCTTGTTCCTAAGCTGCTGAATGATCCATGCCCGTCTTCTCTGGATTCTAGAGGTGCGTTCATCCTTCAGTTACCTTCTGCAATCTACATTTGGGTTGGTAGGCAATGCGAAACCATTATGGAAAGAGATGCGAAAGCTGCTGTTTGTCAGATTGCTCGATATGAGAAAGTCGAAGCACCTATTAAGGTGGTCAGAGAAGGCGAGGAGCCTACTTATTACTGGGACGCTTTTGCAAGCATTTTGCCTATGGTTGGGGACTCGGTGGTTAAAATTCAACCAGGTGAAAGGAAGGTCGACGCATATAATCTGGATTTTGAGATATTCCAGAAAGCAATCCAGGGAGGTTTTGTGCCAACTCTGGCATCATCCAATAACGAACATGAGACTCATCTTCCTGCAAGGGAAAACAGTTGGAGCTCACTGAAATGCAAGTTTGCATCAAGGTTTGAAAAAGGTTTTCGTTCTGCCTCCAAAGCGCCACTTTCCAGGGTCTATTCTGACTCAATGATGATCGTGCATGCGTCAGGCTCACCTTCATCAACGACCTCTTCATCATCGTCTGCTTCGCCTCCTTTTCTTTCTCCTGATTCTGTGTGCCCACCAAATTCAAGCAATAGTCTAAAAGGGTTTTCACAAACTTCTGGGCTCTCTTCTTTGAGACCTTCTTCTATTCCACCCCCTTTGGCATTGCCTAAGTTTTCCAGCCTATCTCTACTTCCTTCCCAAACTTCTCCACAGCCTTACACTGAACCGTCACCAAATAGAAGGGTTTCACCTTCTCTTGCAGAGCGTAGAGGCAGTCTAAAAAAGTCTCTGAAGCTGCCAGGTTTAGCTGGTTCCAGTAGAGGCACAACGGGTTTCACTTTACAGCCGGATGATGGTAATGACATTGTCTTCAACTTGGAGGGTGTTAGAAATGGTGATCTCAATCCATTAAGCGAGTGCAAGGAGACAATACCTTCTAGCAGAATTGTAGATTCAGAATTGCCGCAGAACGAAATGAGTAAATGTGATGAACACGAATCAGGAAGTGGCGGCAACTTGGGCAAGCCGTTAGCATGTCGGTGGCCAAGTATGGAGATGATTACAGAACTGAGTAGAGCTTACTTAGATTCGGAATCTGCTATAGGGATTCAGTTGCCAAGTGATGATGTAGGAAAAACCGGTAGTAGGACTTTGTACATTTGGATAGGAAAGTCATTCTCTTTGGATAACAACTCTTCTCTGTTAGATAGCAACACAACGTCGGGCACTGTGGAGAATCTTGATTGGGTAGAGATTGGTGAAATCATTTTGTCTCAGATGGACTTGCCAAAAGATACCCCTATAAAGGTAATAGCTGGAATTTTGAGCTGCTCTGCTACTTTTATACAAGCTTTAAGTGTGCAGTTTGTTGTGATTCTTATACTGGCGTGTGACTAATAAGTTGGTTCTCCTTTTGTTCACAGATAGTTAGGGAAGCTGAGGATCAGACAGAGTTTCTTGCACTGCTGAGTGCGCTGTAGCACTAGTTCGACACATTTACTCTCGTTTTTTTTTTCCTTTACAGATTCCTTTAACTCAACAGCTTCTACTTGGACAGAGTATTCATTCAGCTCAGGTGAGAAAATCTTTGATAATACCTTATCTTCATTAACAATTGCATTCCAATGAAAAACCATTTTGATCTTCATATCTGCCTTTTTTTTGCGGCTATTGGGTCAGTAGCACTAGTGACCTGTTAACCAAATTTCTCATAAACCATATATGTTCTTTTGGTTTGCCTTTGATGCAGGGATCTCTCTGTTGTGCTTATGGAAGTTGATGTTGGGGGGAAACAACTCTCTTGTACAGATGGAACAAACTACTTCTTCTTCTACCACATTGAATCCAAAAGGGCCATTGTTAGCATTTTATCTGATAAAATTGTAAGGTTAGGGGGGGGGGCTCTAAGAGGATTTTAGATAATGACACTTCTTACAATGTTTACAATATACTCAGCAGCACTATAGATTTTTTCTTTTCTTGTTGTGTTATCAGTTGGTAAACTTCATTTACGACTTCCAAGTAAAGTTCTGACTGAGTAGGTTTTGATTTCTATTGGAGCCTAATTGAAGAGTTAGTTAACTACAGCTTTAACAGTTTCTGTCTCCATAAGTGTATTACTTCTTCATAATGCTCCAAAGATAATATATATATTCTCTAATGTATATTATAGGAATTGATTTGGTAGAGATGAGCCAAATTTATTACGAGTCATGCAACATGTTTTTCATTCAAATTCATCATCTTAATTAACCCATAAACTGTATAGATATTAGACTTCTATTAGTTGCGTAACGTTCACATAAATCTCAGAAAACTGTAAACTATAACTGTTTCCAACCCATAAATGATAAATCTCAAGGCTGATTAGACATACGTTCACATAATGTTGCATTGACGAGTCAAAAAGCCATAAAGTCAAATTCAAATCTAATAAAAGTACCATGTGGACTACTAAATGATCGAATTTTGGTTAACCTATAGTTTAAAAATAGGCTTATAATCAGTTGATATATGAAGCCCACTACTATATTTAAGGCCCAAACGTCATCGAACTAGGGTTGAAAGCCTTTTTGCTTCATTTTCACTCTCCCTGCAATAAATAAATAAAACCTCCAGCCGCATCAAACTGATCTAGGGTTTCTTTTTTGCCGTTCAGGTTCGTCTCGCTCTCTCGATATATCCTTTTGCTCAGCTTCTATTGATTTCTCCGTTTTCTGGGTATCGAATGTTGCATATTGTTTCTGGATACTAGTGAATCTCTGTCATTTTCTCGTTCCATGATTTAATTCTGAGCTAGGCTTATTGAGATTACTATTTTCTAACTGATTTGCTTCTCTGTGTCTTAGCAGGTTTAGTGGTAAAGGATCTCTCTTGAGTAATGGCTCCAGCTAAAGGTTCGTCTCATCCATCGATATCCGATCTCCGTTTAATAGCTCTACTCTCAATATCTTTATAGAACAGAGACATTGAAGAATCAAATTGTCTATTGGTTATAGCATATTAGTCTGCCTAGTAAATTAGTTTTCATTTCATCGTTATGTGATAAATCTTGTACATGTTCTATAATTTGCTTACCGTAATCTTAGTGGAAATGGTTACTATTTTTCATTTGAATGAGTCTTATAAAATGCATTAGATTGATTCAACTCTCTGTTTGTGTTTTTGTAGTTGATGTCACAAAGAAAGCAGACCCAAAGGCAAAGGCCTTGAAAGCTGCTAAGGCAGTGAAATCAGGCCAAAGCTTCAAGAAGAAAGACAAGAAGATCAGGACGAAGGTGACATTCCACAGGCCAAAGACATTGACAAAGGCCAGAGACCCCAAGTACCCAAGGATCAGTGCAGTCCCAAGGAACAAGTTGGACCATTACGGTATCCTCAAGTACCCACTCACCACCGAGTCCGCCATGAAGAAGATTGAAGACAACAACACTCTAGTCTTCATCGTTGACATCCGTGCTGACAAGAAGAAGATCAAAGCCGCTGTCAAGAAGATGTATGACATTCAGACCAAGAAAGTCAACACCCTCATCAGGTACATACACGCTTGAAAACAAAACTAAGAGACATTGGTTTAGTTTGTACAATCTAAACGTGAGCTGATGAAATGTTATGGTTGTTGTTGTTGTTGCAGGCCCGATGGAACGAAGAAGGCGTATGTTAGGTTGACTCCTGATTATGATGCTTTGGATGTCGCTAACAAGATCGGAATCATCTGATTTATCATCCTTTCTCTTCCCTTTTGGTTTTGAGGTTAAAACAGACTTGTGTTTTTCTTTGCCTTTCATAGTCTCAGTTTTGGTAGTCAAGTTAAAAGATTTTTTTATCAATCTCTTTTGTTGTGCTTTTATCGTTGGATTGGAAGATGATTATATATGTTTTGGTATTTATTTTCTTGTTTCGTTTTAAATTTCTTATCCACAATCAACCAAAATTCAATACTGTTCAACCAACAGTCAACACTGTTGATAATTTTGGATCCATCTTTGTAGAGCGTGACTATTTAACTAACTCTAAAAGTTCGTTCTAAATGTTCCAACTTTTGTGGTAAATCTACAGTTCATAATGGAGCCCACACTTTTGATAAGTATCCAATCAGTTGATCAATTTTGTTTTTTTTTTTGTATTTGTGCATTTTTTTTTCCCTCTCTTAAAATATTATGAAACTGAAAATATGACACCGTGGTGCATTGTTTTTGTAACGTCACTCGTGATTTTATTATTTCCAAAATTGGAAGAGAAAAAGTTATCGCTTCGAAAACAATAAAAATGACGTATATAAATAATAAAAATCAGAAAAGATAATCACGTAGTTTGGTCAAGAAACCTGTTTAAGACTTTGATTGCCACGTTAAATTGTCGTTCTGGTCAGAGAGAAGAAGCCTTTATATGTAAAGTGTGTTATGGGGCTTCTCCTTCTCCATCACCACACACACACACAGAGGAACAGACAGTATGAGCAATCATCAAACTGTGAGATTACTTTTTCACTCTTTTCCCATTATACCCCTTCACTTTCTTTCCTTTTGTTCTTGCAAATTTATTAGATAAGCTTTGGATGCTTCGTCGAGATCTCTTATCTTAAGTTTGATTTTGTTTGCTATATCTTTTTCATCATGTATTTCTGTCTTTTTCAAATCCGATAATTCTTGATCTATTTGTTGACTTTCTTGCTCCTTTTTTGTTGGGAGAGAAGCAGCAGGTGTTGAAGCAACTGGAGCCATGGTGTGAGCTTAAAGACAAAGTGGTCCTTGTGACAGGAGCTTCTTCTGGTATAGGCCGAGAGGTCTGTCTTGATCTGGGCAAAGCTGGTTGTAAGATAATCGCAGCAGCTCGTCGTGTCGATCGTCTCAAATCACTATGCTCTGAGATCAACAGCTTTGGTTCGACCGAGATCCAAGTAGCCGCAGCTCTTGAGCTAGACGTTTCATCAGATTCAGCCACCATTGAAAAAGCGGCTAAAGAAGCTTGGCAAATCTTTGGAAAGATCGATGTGTTGATCAACAATGCTGGAATCAGAGGAAACGTCAAGTCGAGTTTGGATTTGTCTGAAGACGAGTGGGACAAAGTCTTCAGAACCAACTTAACCGGACCTTGGTTAGTCTCCAAATACGTATGCAGGTTAATGCGTGACGCTAAACGCGGTGGCGGCTCGGTGATAAACATCTCGTCGATCGCCGGTCTCCACCGCGGTATGTTGCCCGGTGGACTCGCGTATGCGTGTTCGAAAGGCGGTGTTGACACCATGACGAGGATGATGGCTATGGAGTTGGGCGTTTACAACATCAGAGTCAACTGTATCGCGCCGGGGCTTTTGAAGTCAGAGATCACACAGAGTCTCATGGAGAAAAAGTGGCTCAAGAACGTAACCGAGCGGACCATCCCGTTAAAGGAGCAACAGACCGCGGATCCAGGGCTTACCTCAATCGTTCGCTATCTCATTCACGATTCTTCTCAGTACATCTCCGGGAACACATACATTCTTGACTCCGGAGCTACATTACCTGGTCTCCCAATATTTTCTTCTCTTTGAACACACCAAGATCTTGTGTACTTTTGTGCAACAATAAGTGTATACATTTACACATTCTCTTTTACATACATTATCCATGTTTTGCGAGAACAAACACGCACACACAAATTACGAGGAACGACAAAAATGAAAAGAAAAAAGATAGCCTCTGAAATAAACAAAATCGATATACCTTTGGAGAACGAAGACCTACTTCTGATGCTTCGTCTCCAATAAAGAATGAGCAGCTCTCAACACCGGGGAAATCTACGCCTACAAGCTCTACTTGCTACAGAACTAACCATGGTTGAATGTTTTTTTCTTTTTTGAGCATTTTTTCTTATATCAGCCGATGTTGGCGTAGACCTTTACCAAAATGCGGTTGCATCAAACGGACATACAATCCATTCTTTTCTGCTAAAGAATCATGCGTACCTTCCTCTACTATCTTCCCTCCGTTGAGAACCACAATGTTATCCACATGTCGCATCATAGCGGCTCGATGCGCTATCAGAACCGTCGTCTTGTTCCCCATTATCAACGTGTCGAGAGCTTCCTGCACAACCCGACTTGATTCAGATTCGATGGACGAGCTTGCTTCATCTATCAAGATGATGGGAGCGTTCTTCAGCACCACCCGCGCTATCGCTATCCTCTGTTTCTGTCCCGGGGTGAGTTCGACGCCTCTCATCCCGATATGCGTGTCGTAGCCGTGAGGCAAGCTGCTGATGAAATGGTGCGCGTTTGCGATTCTTGCTGCTTCTTTCATCTCAGCTTCACTCGCGTTATGCCTTGCGTATATGATGTTCTCTCTGATCGTCGTGGAGAAGATTATGGGTTCTTGCTGAACTAAACCCATGTGGCTTCTCAACCATCGCAAATTATATAGCTTCAAGTCTCTCCCGTCAAGTAGGACTTGACCAGCAACTGGGTCGTAGTATCTCTCTATCAGTGAAATTATCGTGCTTT